ATGATTTCTGAATATTTCCCAGTACCTCGTTCTGTATGCTTAACAGGATGTTTACAGTTTTCGATACATTTTACTGTATTTCCAAAAAATTCTTATTTTAACTAATATAAACATGAACCATTTTGCAGAACTTGCCACATTTCATATTGAATCATTTGAAAATAAAAAGTTTTGAACAAATTAAGGATGATTTCTGACAACCTTTATTGAGTTTATTCATCACCTATACACAAATAGGTATTTTTTAAATTATAACAATTAAAGTGCTAAATAGAGATAATAACGTCCATTTTGAAGAAACGGTGATCATCTTGAGGAATAGTGAAGGGATTAAACCTCTTCGAGGGTTCGTGATACCTTCTAATAAGATTTTATATCTTTTTTTTTCTTTTTCTTTTTTTTTTTTGATAAATCAATACTTATCTCATAAACAAAACATTCATTTAATAAATTACTACTTATAAATGTCGAAGTGGTATAGGAGTCCACTAAGTAAACTGAAACAGATAAACGAATAACAAGCTATGATGTAACGACAACATTATAATAAGAGGAATGCAAAATTATTATTGAACACTTTTAATTTTTTTTTTCAAAACACTGCCGATAATATTATTAACCATAGGTGCCCAGAAGAGAATGGCGTGGCGCAAGTTGTGGTTTAAAAACTTTTGAGGGGAGGGACACACTTGTATAAGATTTTGAATTTCTAAGAGCCATGTTTTTATAGAGTAATGGATTTTTAGTGGGAACCATATATTTTCTGGGATTTCAATTTGAACGTACATTTAAACCAGAGAACAACGGTAAAAATGTGGTGTTCCAGAAACTGCTGAGCACATAAAATCGACTGCAACGCCTTTGAAGAAAACTAAGTGCTAAATTACTGAAGGAAACCCGTATCTAAATTCTCACCTCAAAAAATTTCTCTCAATTAGTCACTGGAGAAAACTAACCGTACAGTTGGAAAGCAGCGTTGGACCAGGTCCACTTTAATCTAACAAGAAGAAGAGCTAATAGAGGATCATCGGGTTGATAAAGACTGATTCCAGAAAGAAGAATCAAGAATATTAAGAATTCCAGAATAGATGTGTAATCTTTTTTAGCAGTAGTGAGATTTTATGGAGTGAGGTGTAGACATGCGTAACATCTTACTACCGCATCTTACTGTGTATTGCATAAAAGAGCACGGCAGGGTTTTAATAAATAAACAAGAGTAAACAAATGGAACGTATATAATAAACAATATATACGAATAAACAATTATATATAAAATTGGACATAAAAATTGTATATGAACTACAATGTTTCTAATTCTACGTTTTCCTTTTGCTTGCACTGTTTATAAAAGGAGTACGACAAAACTTTCTTATTGGCAGATATACGCCATTGACCTTGTGGGGGATGGGCACCTTTGTGACCGACTTTTCGTTCAGATCGAGTCTTTCAGTATCTTTTATTCCTCATGGTACAATAGGCAATATTTTGTGGGGAGAAAAGCGTAGAAATCGCTCCTGTGGTTTTCGCAATTAACAATTACAAGCGAAAAATGGGTTGCTATTTTATACAATTAGACGTTTTTTTCATAAAGGATTTAATTGAATTTAAAAATCAAATTTTTTTTTAATTAATTTTTTTTTACCTTATCGGAAAGATATATCTTAAATCGTATATTGATCGTCCTGTTCTGTTAGAAATACCTAAAGCTAATTTCATAATACAGTATATACAGGTAAATTGTAGTACAATATCCTTAAATGTCCTGTTGGCGATGGAGACATAATTAATGCTGCTGGGTGGTAATCCAGAGCAGCTTAGGGTCTGTAAGGCTTGGCTTTGTAGTCCACCAGGCCCTTCTCGAGTAATGCTTGTCCTACTTATACTTTAAGCCCTTTGGTCAGTAGGTGAGCGGTTTCAATGCCAAGCACAAATATTTTTAAACACCTATATAGATTATATTTTCCAATAGATAACATGAATCTAGAACAGGTTAAATCAAGGCAACAGCTACCAACAGCAGTTGGAAGGTCAGTATATGAATTTCAGTTGAAAAAATTCAAAATGGAACATCCATAGTTTGGTCCGACCTCATTGATAGAAATCCTTTAAATTTCAATATCACGAACATCGTATTGGAAAATTGGCTGGTTTCATATCCATACGGGAACACCGAACAATTCCGCTATGAAAAAAACAAACTAAGATGTGTGCTTTAGACCACACGATAGAAGTGAAAACATCAAAAAGGCGTGATTGACTAATCCAGTAATTCTCCGAAAAATGTTCATGAAAATCCCAAACCTAATGGACCTCAAATGAACAACTGCTGTGAAAGCCTCAATTATACAATAAGATAATCATTTACTTTTTTTCTGGCTTTTTATACATTTTCTAGTACCATCCTTTACAAATATAACTTATAATTTGGTTTAATATCATTATAATTGTTATCTGTTATAACCAGATAATAATTTTTTTTGTTAACCATCTACCTCGCCATTTCCAGTATGCCTGGGGAGAGTTGTACTAGAAGTACAACCAAACCTATTCTAACCAAAGTGGGAAGGTCAATTCATTCTGTGAATTCGCCACGAAATGAACTAAGAACATGAGCTGTACATTAAAAATCTATCGTTGAGATTTATAATAATTATTTTATTTATATGTAAGATTCTGTGTTTTAACTTAAGAAACAATATTTGAAGAAGATATTTTGAAAATAAAAAGCAGCATGCATTCATTTAAAACATAGCACATTCAATGGTATCCCTTTTGGGGAATACCATTTGCAGTCTTCACCACAATAGGTGTTCCATCTGTTTTATAAGGCCTGCAAGTGAGCCTAATATCTCCTTGAGATAAAAGTCATTTATATTTGGACATAGATTAAGTAAATTTGCCGGTAATAGCCCCTCCGGAGAAATTTTCAACATTACTATGAACAACAACCTTAGTTCTGACTATGGATCTTTGCAAATGGATTTAATTTGACAGAAAAGTTGATTTTTTATCGATTTTTTTCTATTCAGTCAATTAGTTAATTATTCATGAATATCTGACAGCTTATATAGCACCTGTAATAAACACTCATATTTTGGATGTCAATAGATTTTTTTATCTAATTAAAAAAAATAAAATAAATTCTGCACAGTTATAAACTGTGTATAAAAATGTAACATTGTAGATGAACGAATCCGAATTTTAAACTTATCTTCTAAAGAAAAAAGATAAGAAACCTCCCTGAAACCTTTTTTTTTTTGTCTTCCCCTTCCTCACCTGTTAGGGTATACGGGGATTTCCCGGGCCATTTTCATTGATTGATTGATATGTTTATTGCTTTAGGGCTTAGGGCCCTTTCTTACAGCCAAGAGTAAAGTGACATTACTGAATTAACATTTTTCAATAGAATATACAATATTTAATATACAACATACAATACATAATATTCCTTATCTATAATATTTTTTTCAATTTGATTTTGATGTTAGTATTTTTTTAGGGGCACCAAAAGGTGAAGGTAGAGAATTAATGCCTGTGTTAAAAGTCCCCGGGCACCGAGACACGAACTCGTAATTGTTTTATCAAATTAACTTTGATCCAGGTTGCCGCCGAGTGACGCCATACAGTGGGACGAGTAAGGGAAAACTCAGGAGATCGACTATAGCTATTTTTTTTTAATTTAATATTTCAATTGAAATATTCAATAAAACAGTGAAAATATATATTCTTCCAACTGAAAATATTCTCGGGAACTCCACGAACTCTTTTTGGAGATTAAAAAAAAATATATATTTATCCGATGTCACGGGTTATATCGCCTTACTCGTTCCATTGTGCGGCGGTGCTGTGCACACGCATTAGCCCGCTCGGCCACACCGTCCCCAACCTCCCTCAAAAAATACTCAGCTTTACTCAATTAAAAAATCAACCACCAATCGGCTATTGTAACATGTAATATTTAAAAGGTTCAGACATCTGTCTCATAAGTGTTTTAACTGTGAATCTACTCATATTGGTTCTCTCTTTTGGGCTGGTAAAGATTATTATCTTTTAATGAAATGAAAGCTGTTTATCAACATTACAGTTAACGCCGCATACACACATATCTTTAATTTTTTCATTATTATTTTTCTCACCATTTACCCCTTTTTAAGTGTTAACAATAAAATGTTTATTTTTTTGTTGGTAAAAACTGAGGGACAATTGTCTCAGAAATGTAATTAAGTTATTTGTATATTTGGCTTCGTTTGTGATGTGTTATCGCATTTGTATATTATTGGGATTGTGAGATCAAAGTACTGCCGGGTCGTCAGTTTGGAACTAGCTTTGTTGACATAGTAGTGAACGTGTAGTGGATGTCTAACTCCATCAGTCTAGACTCACCTCACCTGGTAACATCCTAACGCCATTTTTGGGCTGTTGGCTGTTTGGCGCAGCTGAGTCATCGATCGATCGATAGGCTATTCGATTTCCCCACCATCGACTTTTGGACATCGAGAAGGTAACCAGGTTGGAAGCAGAACCTCCAACTTGGCTCGTTTTTTTTTGTTTTTTTATTCTCACCATCACCAAGACATTTGAACATTAAGTCAATTTTCGTTTCACCTGTAAAGAAGTTGATTTTATTTTATTTTTTTTTTCCTAATGTTTAATTTGTTTTTATGTTCTCTGAATATTGTATCTTATATTTCATTTTATTTCAGTGCATTTTAATACTCTTCTTTTATTTATTTATTTTTTTTTCAACATTTGTATATATCTTTTTGCCACCATAATAAATATTGTAAACATTCAAAAGGGGATCTTTTATTTTCCACATTTTTAATTAATTGAGTAATTTTATAATATTTGATGTGCATGCTTTTTTTCTCTTTTACATGTCTCATTTTTATTCACTAATTTTTTTCCCCTTCCTTCCCTTCATTGTTTAATTTTACTCGAATTTTCCCCACCTCTCAAAGGTGGAAACTCACCGGGGAAAGATTTGTACTTGAAAGACTTTGAAATACCCCTGGCCCCAACACAGTTTTTATTTCTGGTACATTTACCTTAAATAATATGAACTGGTAGTAAAACTAAACAAACTCATAGATATAAATAATGCCAATAAAAACAATTATAATATTTAATATCAATGACAATTGAGAGGTTTGACTTCATAGCACTCTCATAAATAAAAATATTAAACAGCTTAGAGTTATTTTATTTAAGGTTAACAGGTGGATGGTTGCCCCTAGTTCTCATCTTGCACTGCTTGCTGGTGCGGCTGAAGTGCTCTCTGCGCGTCCAGTGCCAGCAGCTTCTGCCTCTTCTCTTCCATGAGGCGGTCCCTGTGCTGGTGGATGTAGTCCCTCACGTTCGGCAGCCCCATGATGACCGAGGCCGAGAGGGCCGACCGGTAGATGTTCATGTCCGTCGCCTCGTACCTTAAATTTTATCTTATAGTTATTCACCTTATATATTATTTCTCACATATATAAGAGATATTCCAGCTCTCAGGAGTAATGGATTTTGACCAATGAGGTATCAATAGAAAGGGAATATCACGTAGTCTGCGCGAATCGCAATTTTCCTTATTTCATACCAGGACTTAAATATAAGCGAATGTAAAAGTGAGAAGCATGTGTTTATTCAAATATTTTGTTAGTTTAGTTTAGTATCTTTTAGTTTATATACATTTACTTTTAATATTATTATATTGCTGTTTATTATTTTTATTTATTGTGCATAGTATGAATGAGCTACTCTTTATCATTATTAAAATTGTCCTTGAATGTGCCAGATTGTAATATATCTCAATAAAGAAATTTCCTAAAAAAAAATTTGATTTTTATCATGATTCACACATGATGGTGCCGTCTTAACGAATCGAGACGTTACAAATGAATTCATAATGTGCGAATAGCTCGAAAAGTACGCAATTTTCGGTCCATGGTATATATATGAATATTTCAAATCTTACTAAATTATCTACAAAATGTAAAAAAAAATCATCGAATTCAGACGATTTTGTGAGGAGTTATAGCGTTGTGAACATTTAGTATTTGTTGTACTGTAACGATTCTGTTGCATAAGAGAATTGAAGATTTTGGAATTTCTTTATTTTTTCCTGGATACAGTATTAATGCATTAATTAGTAGCTGTTCTTTTAATTTTAAATTACTAATTCTTTTTAATTAATTAAATTATTAATTTTGTTTTTATTTATATAAATGTGTCTTCCTTCAAACACTTCTTGGAATGTTTGCCAATATGCTTCCAATTAGTTTAGCTTTATTCTTGACGTATATCATTTTTTTTTTTGTTTTAATGAAATTTACAACTGTACTACATGGAAAATACAACAAGTAAATGTGACATTGGTAACATGACATGTACAATATGAAGAGAAATTACCCATTGGTAGAACTTAAATTAAAGTTCTATATTAGAAGGTCCCGAGGCCATCTTCTTTTCAGACGCCTCGTAGGGTTATCAGGGATCGAGTAGGAAGAAAGCTTTGAAACAAGAGGATTCAGATAGTTCTGCAGTTTGTTATAGAAGGATAGGTATTTGGATTGGGCCAAATCGGAAACATATGGAACATTAAGGTCTTTATGGATGATTTTATTTATGACAAAGTAAGGAGCGTTGAGGATTTTACGAAGGATTTTGGATTGTAAGGATTGGATACGAGAGGAATTCGATGGTTTATTGGAGCCCCAAAGCTCAATTCTATAAGTCCAAATAGGTATTATTGTCATATATATGAGTCGTTTGTCTAGTAAGTGCTGCAGTAGTCGAAAACGTCAGGCGGTTTCTAGTCGTTTCAGTCCGGTATGGGGGTTATTTATCATTTTAAAACTTTCGATTTTTTTTGAGTTATTAAATAATATACATCCTGATTGCACTAACTATTTCTCTTGCACTTGATTTTACCTTTAAAGTACTGAAGATTTAGCATATTTAGAACATGATATAGAGTGTGAATGTGTTCTCTTAATTATAAATATCATTAAATGTGACAGTTTGTAATATTTCTCAATAGATAAGTTTAAAAAAAAAATTTTGGTGATATTTCTAGTGAGAAAATGTGTTATACCTTTCATTACAGTTCTATATTTCAACACTGCAATCACCTACTCTGGAATCCACTTACTCGATGTCTATACAGATATTATAAATTTTCCAACTAGAAATATCACTATAATCATCTTACTCGAAAATATTTTTATTGGAGTTAATCATCCTGTCACCTGAAAGGCTCATATATTACTTAACAAAAAGTGAAATAAAATTCTTATGAGGGCAATATTTGCCAATAATTTTGTATTGCTTTCTTCGCCGTTGTGAAAGAAAAGTAGTGTGATTATTTAGAAATAGTAAACAATTCTGTAATAATACCGGTGGTTATGTTTTAAATGACTTTGTTAGATTTGATTTTTATATACATCGTTTTTGATTGAATTAATTTCTGTGACATTGCATTGGAATTGTAGCTCTGTCGTTGTGAGTATAGTTCATTTCTCAACTTTTTTTTTTTTTAATACTATGAGCTTTTTTAGTATGAACAGAGCAATCAAATTTCTTGGATGGGTAATGCGTCATAGCTGTCGGGGAGGAGGGAGGCATATCTGATACCCACGAAATGAATGCTAAAAATACTAATACTGCTAAAATACTAAATACTAAAATGAAATATGGTAAAGGTCATAGCTCTATTCCAATTCTATACCAATTTTAATAATTGGCTATTAAAACTCTGAAACTTTTAAATGGGATCGTCAAATATTTTGATAGCGTATGCTACTTCTACAGCCAATAGATGGAGTTGTTAAAAAAAATCATGTTGTTACGTGACATTTTATAATTGGAGGTATCTAAAAATACCCGCGTAATCTAACGTGACTTAATGCAAAGTAGTCGGTGAAGAATTTGCTGATATTTAAGATTTTAAATAAACGATTCCATTTAACATCAACAAAATATTATGAAATTAAACTTATTAAAAATAATTTAGTTCCTGTTATCTTCCTTTTCTGTTTAAACAAACTAAGACACAACAACGTATGGCGAGTAAAGGTAGTTTCATTTATAAACAATATCATAAAAAAAAAATCTGGTGTGTCCACTCACACGACTTTCATACCTATTTCAGAAAAGTTTTTGTATCTTTACATATGTCCATCAAGAAACAAAATAAAATTAATTAGATTTATCTTCCTGAAAATTGATCACGAAAAGATTTGAGTACGATTTATTTGATAAACTAAAGCAATGTAATCCGACTTAAGATAGAACAGTGTAACAATTTCAATGCTCTCTAATATTATTGATCAAAAACTTTTTACCATAGCCTTATTTTGTCAAACAATATTTTTGTTAAAAGCAGAGGTATTAGTGAAGCTTGTTTGATGCAGGCAACAGTTTTTTTTTACTTTCACTAAGTTATATTTTTTCTCTTATTCATCTCTTGCTGACACCTGGATATGTACCCGCAATCTTACATTGGAAATTGAATAGATGTAACTTCGTTAATAGTAGTTTTACGGACTCAAGGGCCTCTGAAACGTATAGATCCGTCGAAAACCGCATATCGGAAATGCGACCCGATCGCAATACTTTCCTTACCTAATATAGGTAGGAAAGTAAAAAATAATAATAAAAAATAAGCTTGTAACACTCCAGCCCATGAATGATCTTGGATTCAGTCTGTACAAGCGGAGGTCGTTGTCAGTTTGTAACCAATTTCAACCTTTTTTTTTATTTGAGTGATTCTATATCGAAAAGTATTGAAATATTTGAGAGAATCATAGAACTGGTTACAGAAACTTGACAATCAATATCTCATGGTATAAAGGCAAGGAGGTTAAGTTGGGTGGGGTACGCAGCTCGCACCAATCTACTAGGAAGCTTCTACAAAACAATGGATGCCTTAATAATAGGTAAGAGACACATGGAAGGACAAAAACCAGATGGTTGGATCGAATCAATAAAGATGCAATAGATAGAAATTCTTCGACACGTGACGGCTCGGTACTAGAGCTTTAGGGCCTCAAACCTTCAGGGCTCAAGCTGAAAGCTCATAAAATTCGAGTCTTGATGAATTTATCCTTAAAAAAATTAAATTATTGTCGATTTGTATATTTTCGTAAAATATATATATATATATATATATATATATATATATATATATATATATATATATATATATATATATACATATACATATATACATATATACATATATATTGTTTTCTGTTGGAAATAACAATGTGAATATAATTTCGAAATGTAATGTGAATATATTATTTTTCTGTTGGTAGTAAAAATGTATTTTTGTGAATGTATTTGTGAATAAATAGCTCGAACCTTTTGGGCTCAAGCCATATAGCCTTCTGACCGAGCTCTTTTACAACACTAGCAGTATAGCTTCACGCAGATAACTGGAAATAAATAGTCTAAGATTGAGGCACGGATTCATAAAGAAGTCGCAGATTGAGAAGGCCGATTAAAGCGGGAAAAGATCTACAAGGTCTGTAAAACTCCCTAAAAATACAATTAAAAAACACTGAATATAATATCATTCAACTTTATAATTGTAATAAACAAGCTAAAAGAATTAAATGTCCCAAAAACAAATTAAATGATTTGTAAAAAGCTCCTATCCGTTGACGAAATCCGGATGGTTATTAAACAAGAAGTAAAAGGGGTGGTTATGGTCTTGTCTTTTAAAGCGATTTAGAGAATAGTCAGAAAATTTTTACTAGGAAATGTAGGATGCAACATAAAACTGTAAACACGTATTACAGTTTTATGTTGCAGAGCATTATAAATATTACTTTTATAAGCAAATAAATATTATATGATGTAGTTTAAATAAGGAGTCGTTTGCTAAGCCACTTAACGAATTGTAGCCTACAAGTAAAACAGTAAATAAGGTTTTATTTCTTTTTCTGAACAAATAAGATAAGAGGAACTAGCAATCGAAACCGGTGTTTCATCGTAAAGTACAACCTATTGCAACTTTCAATACAGTAGATAAAATACTTTTTGGTTAAAGAATTAAATAAATATTCAATAAAATATAATCTCTTTTTCAATAATCATAACCCAAGATTCTTATGTAAATAATACATACATATTATATAAAAGTAACTTAATAAAACTTTAATTGACTTTATAATACTGTAATTGATTAATATTGACTTTTTTTCTCGGGATTTTCCAATTTTAACGTTAGTAAGCCACTGGAAAACTGAATTCCTGCTCTTCCAGTCCGCATCGATTTATTTTAGATTACATTCCTTTTTAATTTAATTAAAATTTTAAAAAAATTCTCAATCACTTTTATTATAAGTCTTTCGTTCTAATTTAGTTACAGAGATCGGTTTTATACCATTTTGTATAAAACGATATACAGAATACTTCAGGGTTAAGTGGCCAAACTGCAAAAATAAACTAAGGACCTCAAAACAAGAAAAAAAATTCCTCTGAAGGTATATCCGCAAACACTTTGTTCAGGAGATACTCACACCTAAAGATTTTCGTTATTATGAATTATTTACGTTATATGAAATAAATAAAACTTATTTATTTGTTCTAACTACTTTAATTATTAAATGTAAAGATTAACATTAGAAATTAAGGCCGTTGACCGGACTTGCATAGACATTTTGCTTAATGTCACCCCAAACTAAAAAATCTAGTGGTGTCAGGTCTGGAGAGCGTGCAGGCCAAGCCACTGGTCTTGCACGGCCAATCCATAGATGACCTTAATTCCTTAGGAAGAAGGATAGTTGAATCTTGTGAAACAATAATACATATCCAGTGCCGTTCTGCCACTGCTGTTGTTGAAGAAAGATACCGAGTCTGTCTTAATACTCAAGGAAATCACTTTGAACAACATTTAATATGAATTTCAATATTTTAACAACTAATTAATAAAATAGTTAGAACCAATAAATAGGTTTTATTTATTTCATATAACGTAAATAATTCATAACAACTGAAATCTTTGTGTGTGAATATCTCCTGAACAAAGAGTTTGCGTACATACATTCAAAAGATTTTTTTTTGAGGTCCTTAGTTCATTTTTGCAGTTTGAAGACAACCCTGAAACACCCTATTGAATCCTAAATCCCTAATAATTTCTGTGTGGACCGGCGGAACCGTTTAAAGTTGTCACATTTTTTGTGGCTGTCTACAAAATTTCGAGTGGTCCAGCCTAAACAAAAATGTCGTGTAAAAAATTTCAATTTTTCGATTGCTATAAAAATTCGTATTTAAAGGTTTTTTTTTTTGAGGTGCGAAAAACGAATATCAACTTTGTTTCTCTCCCAAAAAATATTTACTCCCACATTGCTACCTAGATAGGTCCAAATTTTGTCATATTGTTGCTATCTACCAAATGTAATATTTATTCAAAACCAGTCTACTAACAAGGGTAAATATTTTTTTCAAGGAAAAATAAAGCTAACTTTTTTTTCGCAACTCAAAAAAATCTTAAATACGAACTTTTATAGTAATCGAAAAATTAAATACTTTACAGCTATCGAAGTGTGTTGGGAAAGCAGTAATCTAGCTTTTCAACGGTTATACTAAAGTTGAAATTAGAAAAAATAAAGAGAAGTTGTGAATGCTTTTTCTCGGCTCCTAGAGCCCATTGGAAAGAATGTAAGAACATTTGTCCAATATTTTTCGATGTAGCAACAACGAAAAAAAATATTAGTTGTAATCAGTAACTCACTGACTATAGCCTACAATTGGGACTTTTTGCAAAAAGTGGACGTTATCTGTACTAGCTTCAAATGTAGACAAATAAAATAAATAAATAAGAGTTCACCTTACCATTCATTCGGCTTATCATCGTAACACTCGACGTGGTATATGGTTGTTACACCGTTGAAACCACCGATTGTGAAAATCATGTCATCGATGACTTCAATTGCGAAATTACTCCTCGGGTTGTACATATCAGGAATCGGGCTCCAAGTATTTGTCGTAGGATTGAATTTTTCTCCACTGCACATTCTTGATATGCCATTAAACCCACCTAATAAAATTTTTAAAAAATGTCTATTACTTTAATAAATTAAAATGAAAGCAATATCTTGAAAAAATAATCTTATTCTAAATAACTTTTCTTGAGACGAAGTAATTTATTTTCAATGTTTCAATGTTGGAGGTACGTTGACATCTGTTGGACCGAAGGTTGTGAACCATATTAAATCTATGATTCTAATAAGTTTATTCTATCTTCCATTAATGTTTTGGTTATTGTTGAGGCGGGACTTTATGTATTCTTCAACTTTCATAATAACAAAGTTTTTATGTTAATTATTAAAAGGAATTTTTGAATTTTGTTTTCCTATTGATTAAAATCACCGAAAGAATTATATGTTTTTCAAATGGAGGCTTTATAGCAATTAATAAAGCTATTTTGTTTACTTATATATATTTTTTTAATAATAAACTTCATTCAGATAAAACACAAAAATATATTATTAGAAATTTTTAGAACGTTTGAAAGTTATATATTAATTCTTCCGTTTATAAATTTATATATATATATATATATATATATATATATATATATATATATATATATATATATATATATATATTTATAAATACGGTGTAAATGTGCTCTCTGAGCTCTATTATAAGTGAGACATATTGTAACATTTCTCGATAAATATGTTTTAAAAAAAATCAGTAAGTATAAGAAAGAATCACATTATTTTCATTGAAGGGTGCTTCCCAATTATATTGCGTTGCCACAAACACAGCATACTTATAAATCGATGTAATGGACAATTCCTAAAACTAATATACAAAAATACGGTATCATCAATAAACGGGTATATACTGGTATATGCATAGTAAACTTTTCTTTATATATTATTTTATTTTAATAAAATTAAAAACTAAATTAAAATTTATTTGTATAACTAAGTCTTCAGCATCAAAGAAATTATTTTTAGGGGTGAAAAAAGAAAAAGGGGCTAGATGAGTTTTAGTGGTAAAAGTTTATTAAATGATGTTATCATAATTTCAAATATATACATATGAATCGCAGGAAAATTGTTTTATAATAAATGTCATATAGTATGCCCGTGGACCACAAAGCTAGCAATTTCTTGTAATGGAATAATCATTTCTCATCGTTTAGTACTTGATATATTGCTGTTAAAAATCATCTAGTCTCCTTTTCGGTAAGATTTAGTTCAAATTAAAAGCAAAAACGTTTTCAGCTATTTATGAATTTCTAGAACACACCGCTTTATCATTTGAGTTAGCAGTAATATAAGGCAGTGATAATAGAGGCCGCAATAAAAGTTTATATTTTACTGTTGGTATTTTTATTAATACGCAAATCCACACCTATATACATGTATTCAATTTAATTTTATTAAATTTAAAATTTTCGAAACCTCAATAAACAAAATTAATTAATTCTAGCGCTAAATTAATGAAGGCTGCAACTACATGACGGAGGCCACGTGCGGCCTAGAGGCTGCAAGTTCCTCGCCTGTGGTCTACAACTTTGATTTTATACACTTTATCCTTTTGTTATTAGACGTTTCATTTTATATACAATTTGGTATGTACATCATTGGTATGTACAATTTGGGTTTTTTTAGGGACGTGCCTTCTTAATGGTAATTACTTTTAGTGCTATTGACTTGAGTGTAGACTGTAACTTTGTGATAGACTACACGAAAAGGAGCTGGTTACAAGAACTGAGAGAATCCTAAGGGTTCAGTAAGGCTTTGAGCAGGTCCGGTTTTAGTGGACGAAGTTTAGTACCAGCAGCTTTGTCATCAATAGCGCATTCAAAGCCCGTTTCTATTGAACCAGTGTATTTATCTACCTCAATGAGACGACAAAATTAACTATAAAGAAATACACTTTACTCTAAAAAAAACAAACATTTTATGGTACGCGGTACAAAATACTCTTTTTCAAATTATTAACATCCGTCTAAAATTCTTAAATGGCTTCAATTTATTGTAATCCACAATTTTTTTATTTACAAAAATTCTTTCTTTTTTTTAAATTTTTTTCAATCTGGAGATTGGTAACATTTGTTTATTTAATGAGGCACGAATACCTCATAAACAATCATTTGCTCTTTACCTGAACCATAATATAATTTGATCACGAAATCGGGAAACAGGTGGCCTACAAAGATATTGAGCCCTTGGCATTACCTCCATCAACATGTCCAAATAACGTGGTTACATAGGCCAAACGGTCCAACATTGTTTGGTATTTATGAATTTTTATGATTTCTCAATCTCATAATACATTTCATTAGGTTAGTTCTATATTATTTTGTCATTTGTTCACTAGCTAATATAAAAGGTGAATTATGCGCATGGACCAACTAGTAACCTATGACTTGCTTAACTATTGTTACCGATGACATAAAGGCAGCCATGATATCCAACGCAGGATACTCCGCTTCTTCTTGACCTCATCGGAGGAATCAGTGACCACTGGTTGAGTTCTGGGTCGTACACCTCCGCGGTGTTCATGCACTCCTGTCCGTTGAAACCACCGGTGATGTAGATTTTACCTTTAAAGTACTTAAGATTTAGCATATTTAGAACATGATATATATATATATGTATTTTATAATATATATAATAGTTGTTTAAAAATACAAGAGAAAAAATAATAGATAAACCACTAACACAAGAAAACGTGATATAAGAATTTCAAATTATCAAACTTTTTCTCAAAATTCGGAATCCTGAAAGTGATAAAATCTTAAAAGCAAGAATCTTATCTAAGTAAAGAAGTTTTGTTTTACCTTAAAAAGATTCTTGCTTTCAAGTTATTGTGAGTGATGCCATAGCACAATGGAATGGCACTATTCTTTACTAACATGTCTCACAATATTTCTGTCGAAATTATATCGGAGGCACCTTAACCTACTTTATATTAAACTGAAGTTAGTGCCAGTAAACGTAAACTGTCTTAATGGCGTCTTTAGAGTCTCGAATATCGATCATTTATAATGAGTCCTAAACATTGGCAGAAACGGAGATTGGCGAGATTCAACAGACGGCTCTGCTATGCTATACTGCGAATCTTGTAAGTCGTGCCGGAGTGTATCTAGTCCGCCGTACCTACGGCGTTAATTTTCAAATTATTAACATGGATTACAAATTTCGTGAATGGTCTCATCTTATCGTAATATACAACTATTATCTTTAAGAAAATACTCGACAATGGGCCATATTAAACCTAGTAATCGATTAACTTTGTTTATTTAATAAAGTACAAAGACCTCTCATTTGCTTTCCACTTGAAACGTAAGATAATTTGATCACAAAATCGATAAAATAAAAAAAAGGTGACCTACAAAAATATTGGGCTGTTGGGAATGACACCCAACATATCAAAATAACGAAAGTATTTACGCTAAACGTCCCAATATTTTGGTAGAACATAGATGGGGAATCTTTTTATTATTAGACAGTAGTAAGATGGATAATAGATGGGGCAATAATAGTTTATACTATATTTATTATACTATATATTTTACTGTTGATATTTTATTAATATGTAAATCCACATCCATATACATGCATTAAACTTAATTCAATTGAACTTAAAATTTTCGTAACCTCAATAAGTAAAATTAATTAATTCTAGCACTAGATTAATGAAGGCTGTAACTACATCACGGAGGTCACACGCGGCCTAAAAGCCACAAGTTCTACGCATGTAGTTTAGAACTTTGAATTTAGACACCTATTGCTTTTTTGTTGTTAAACATTTCATTTCAGAGATAGATTGGTATTAGTCCGTGGTACAGACCCCTTTTTATCAAATTATTAATAACATCGTAAGCTAAAAATATTTTATTTACGAAAATTATCGAAATTGGGACGTTTTCCATCTGGAAATCGGCATACATTATCTGTTTAATAGGTATTAAAAAACTTGTGAATCGTAAGATAATATTATCGCAAAATCGAAAAAAAAAGGTGGTCTACAAAAATATTGGTCCGTTTGGTCCATCCACAAAATGTCAAAACAACGAGGCTATATAGTTTTGTACTGCTCAATATTTTTGTAAACCATTTTTTTTTCTCGATTTTGTGGTCAAATTATCTTACGATTCAAAAGGAAAGCAAGTGGGTATTCATGATTTTTTAGTATATTACTCATTTAATTAATATAATGAAGAAAAGCGCCATTCCTGATATTAAAAGTTTTAAACGAAGCCATTTAAGAAGTTAATAATTTGAGAAAAGGGGGTTATCGGAGACTGACCAATTTTCATGAATTTGAAAAATAGAATTAATTTTGTTTTTTTCATGTTAATTAGGTACGTGTTTACACATACACGCAATTATATAAGTAAAAGTGAAATATAGATCGTAATTCACGATTGAAAAAAAAAGAATAATAGAATGAAACAGAAAAAAATTAAGTAGCATGTAACATAATTATTGAATTTTTATCTGGGTTAAAGCATGTTGTGAAAAAAACAAATATTAAAATGATACAGATTAAACATTAATTATTTAGAATGACACAGATAAGAAAATTGAGCAAGGCCCCTAATGTTATCTAATTAATAATAAAACACGGAAAATAACATTTCATCAATAATTAGCGTTACGTAACAACTTTAGTTGCGTTGCTAATGACAGGACCGTGCCAAGTCGGAGTTTTCAATATAATTCTATAAAAGGGAAAAAGCCTTTCAGTTTTCCTCCAAGACAATAGTTCAAAGAGGGTAGCGTACTCGTCAAACTTTCCAACCAGCGAGCAAATATTCCACGAAAAGAAATTCTATTTGCCTGTAGGGCTTCTATTTCCCTTCGTCCCTTCATTTATTACGTGGATTGTTCGAGATAAATCTTGAAAAAACAGCCTTAGTATATTGAGGACCATCCTGAATACCGAACAGCAGAGGGGCATGAAGGGCAAACCCAAGGACAATGATCAAATATCTCCTGCCCATCAGCGAAATACAATTCTTTCTTATCCTGATCATATGTAACAACGCACAGAGTGGCCGATTGCGAATCTAGCGGAACAAAAGTCTAAAAATAACTTCGGAATTATGATGAAAAACGAGTTCGCACCACGTAAAAGATGTCAATTAACAAAAAAAAACACATAAATAATCTAAGAGAAATGCCAATCGAGTACTTAAAAGTAAACTCACAAAGTGAAAGGACCCCTTCCATTACACCAACTCGGAATTTGTATATAAATAAATTTCACTTTCAGAGGTGTCCTCCCAAGATCGATTCCCCGTGTAATATTTACTATTCCTCTCCATTTAACATCCATCTCCAGAAAAAATGTTATGATTCTCCTATTCTTAAAAATGGTATAAGCAGAAGCAGATTTTTTTTTTCTTCCCTACCTCGCCATTTAGGCTATACGGGATTTTCTCGGGCCGGAGGTTGAGGGCGGGGAATTTAAAATCTCCTCCGCCACCGGGACGCGAACTCGTACTTATTTTTGTCTCCCAAAACTTCATATATCTGGTTTCCGGGCAACTCGCGGTGCTGTGCACACGCGTTAGCCCATTCGGTCACCCCGCTCCCAAGCAGAAGCAGGTATGCTCATTCTCCTTCTCCCCCTCCACGAGGTCGATCATACATAATTACACTTGATGCGGTCTGTTCCATGTTTCCCCATACTCCCTTGGTTTGAAACTTTTCATTCAATTCATAACCACATCAAAATGTGCCTTCCCTCAAACAAAAATGTTGATGGCAACACTGAGTAGAAGAAGAATTATAGTTTACAATTACACTTTCTCTGATCTAATCCGTGGTTCTTTCTTTGTTCCCTGCTTTGAAAGTTCCTCAATACGTGCATCCCTCAAAAACTCAAAATGCCTTAAAAATATTCCCACATCAAAAATTTGGCACTTGCGCCGACTCCCCTTGAGGGCACCCCTCAATGTGTTTAAGTTGATAAGCAAATGTATTCCCCATAGGTTGGAAAGAGTGATTACTAAAATTGTTTTTTTTTGTTTTCTTATATTAATTCACCTTGAATTTTGAATATTGAACACAATACTCTACATTTATTATCAGCTGTCAATAATATCTGCATTAATTTAATTTTTTTACAACCAAGGTAGGTTATTCTATCTGAATCTCTGAAAATGCCGGTCTTGAAGCTTAAAATTTTAAACATATTTACTTTAAAATGAGAAGAGGAGGTACTCTATATTATTAATACAAGATATTCTTCCCCTAACCTTCGTTCCTCGGTTTAGTAGAGAACATGTTCAGCTGAAGAATGATGGACGTTAATGATCCGATACAAAGATGCCGAGAGGCATTTCCTACTCTCCCTCCTCCCCTCCCCCCACTATTTTATTAAGGTGGCGCCCTAATATATTATATTCATTTACTTAAAATAACCCACAACAAGTTCAATAAACCTTATAGGCAATAATTCTATTATATTAAAAATAATAATTAGTTGACTTTTTTATTTAGATGGTATTTTTGCTGCTTCAAGGCAGCTGTCGGAAAATATGCATAAATTTGATTACCGCTGCACCACTTCTTCAGGCAAGACTAAGCATTTATTTTTATATAAAAACATTATATAACACATGGAATAATTTAATATTAGTATTTACAAACGTTTACCACTAAGTGTCGTCGCACAAGCGTCGCTCCTCTGTGCGTTCATCGGCGCTATCATAGTCCACTGATTAGTCCTGTAGTCGTATTTTTCGGCAGTGTTTTGTCGATGGTGTCCATCGTAACCTCCCATGGCGTAGATCACGTCGTTCAACACTGCCACGCTCACGTAGCATCTTCAATATGAAATATAGTAATATGTTAAAAGATTTGTTACGTTCCAATGATCATATGATAATAATTCTGTTAATATTTCTGAGTAAGTAACCTACTTTTAATTTTTGAACCAGCCAAATAAATAAGAATAAATAAAGAACCAAAATTAACCAGGATGAATAATATCCTCTAGAATCAGCAACTGTCACTTGGGACTCTTAGCCATATCACTAAAAATGCTTATTGATCTTAACGTGATTTTTAATATACATTTAGCTTGCGTAATTTAGTAACACCAGGGATAAGGCCAGTTTTCCGGATGATTTGGTATTGCATCACCAAATTCAACGAATATTCAATTTAAGTTATTTCTGCACACAAAACCATAACGCAGTTTCTTTAAAAAAAACTAATTAAAACATTCCTAGAAACCTTACATAATTAATTAAATTATTGAAATTTGCAATATTTAACGAAATTTGCAGTCTACTATAGATAATTTATGATTTTCTCCTTTTATTAGGTTACTCATTTTCCTATATAGATACATATTTTAATTATACGTATTTTTTTTTATAATGTTTACTACTATATTAGTATAAATACATCGAGTAAATGTGTACAGAAAAAAAACATCGGAATCGAACCAGCATTAGCGATTATACAGTACATTCTATTTTCTATTTTAATTTATTACTTTCCTACCTATACTAGGTAAGTAAAGTATTGCCAACGGGTCAAATTTCTGATATGTAGTTTTTGACGGATATATATGTTTCAGAGCCCTCTGAGTTTAGCCTGTTTTTTTTTTTTTTTTTTGTCTTTTTTTGTTTTTTTTAAGGTAATGAAATTCCCTACAAAACTGTATAAAAATCGTTTATTTCGAACAACCATTAACAAAGTTACAGCTATTCAATTTCCAATGTAAGATTACGGGTCCATAGCTTGGTGTCAAAGAGGGGCGAATGAGAGGAAAAAGATAACTAAGTGAAAGTAAGAAAATATGTAGCCCGCATCATACATGCTTCACTATTTTCTCTGCTTTTAAGAGAAACAGCAATATTAGAGGGTAATTTTTACACTGGTCTTCCTTAAGTCGGTTTACATTGCTTTAGTTTATCTAATAAATCTTTTCTTTGATCAATTTTCAAGAAAATAAATCTAATTAATTTTTTTTGTTCCTGGTACATACGTAAAGATACAAAAACTTTTCTGAAATAGGTAGGAAAGTCGTGTGAGTGGACACACCAGGTTTTTTTTTTGTCTTATTTTTAAAATAAGCGCCATTTTTTTTCTCTTTGAACCAAATCTACTTTTCGAAAGCCGAAAATAATAGTTTTTTTTTTCTAAAAACAGGAAGTATTTTATTACCAAATTTTCGTTACCACTATTTTTAGTATAGTTGCTGGTGTAGTATAGCCTTTCTATGTAGTAAAGTCTTTGTCTGTAAATTTATATAAAATAAGATAAATATTATATATGAATGATTTTTAATGCAAAAGACTTAAAAAATAAAAAGTAAAAATGGTCTAATTTTCTCGGGAACTACTGAACCGATTTTGTCTATTGAAAGGTAATTAAATTCCCTACAAAGCCATATAAAAATCGTTCATTTTGGACAACTATTAACGAAGTTACAGCGATTCAATTCCCAATGAAAGATTATGAGTTCATTTCCTGGTGTCAGAAAAGATGACTAAGTGAAATTAAGAAATTCTGTTGCCCGCATCACACAACCTTCACTATTTCCTCTACTTTTAACAGTAATTATTGTTTGACAATACTAAGCTATGGCAGAAAGTTTTTGATCAGCAATATTAGTGAGTATTGAAATTTTTACACTGATCTACCTTAAGCTGGTTTCATTGCCTTAATTTATCAAATAAATCGTACTCAAATCTTTTGTTTGATTAATTTTCAGGAAAATAAATTTAGTTCAATTCTTTTTTGTTTCTTCATGAACATATGTAAAGATATAAAAACTTGTCTGAAATAGGTAGGAAAGTCCTGTGAGTGAACACACCAGATTTTTGTAATATGTATTTGGTAATAAGATGTTTCTTGGACAAATAAAAAACGCGTCATATTCACTTGATTATTAGTTGATAAACTTTTTATAAAATAGATAATTTATAACTTAGGTTAACTAATGATTAAGTTCACCCTAAATAGCAATTAAAAACTGCAAAAAGGAAATAACAGGTAAAAATATGAGATACTAATTAGGAAACCACCCACAGTATTTAACGCAAAAGAGAAAATGAAAAGAGATATACTACGGCTTCCTTTGATTAATTTAGGAAACGATTGATTCATTAAACATCGTAATCTTCAGAGTTCCTAAGAGAAATTTATTTTTTTTATTCCTACCGGAAAGTATTCTGGACGAAGATATAACTAAATTTGATTAATAAAGACAAATTTAAAATTGCTTGTTCAGTCAGTAATATTTAGTTATTTTATATAAATTAATGAATAGAAAAAGGACAAAAATTAATGAGCAAAGTTATTATTAGAAATTTTCAATAACTACAGAAGCACATTAAGTCAGGGTTCACATCTCCCTTTAACAACCTAAAGCAGAAATAATACGTGTATTTCAGTGTGAAATTGCATTTCATGAGGCGGTGCATGTTTTCGCAAGAAATGGACCACCTGTGTGAAGATAAATCAAAAATTTACTTAAAAAGAACGGCTCAGGAAATCAGGGTCAGTATTTTAGTAGTATCCATGATGGTCTTATGTCGAATCCAGTGGAGGAATGTTCTGAGGGGTGGAAAAGGGGAGCGCACTTGCGAAGCAGGCGAGTTCCATATACTCAAAGTATATGTGTATATATACACACTTATAAAGGAATGTGTATTTTAATAGTTTTTTTTTTGTCCTTATCTTATTTTATATTCTTTTAGCATTATATATATACATACGTATACAGTTGTAAATTTCAATAAAAATAATATATTTTTTTGTTTCGTCTAATATTTTGTCATAGAATGACCCTCAAAATTCCTTTATTAGATAATTAAGATCCATAAAGCTAAAACACGACATTTTGCAATAAAAAATAGTTATAACAGCTACTTTCAGCAACCAACATTAGAATTATTAGTGTAAATATTTAGATGTTTTTAATTATTCGTTGTTTTAATACAATGTATAAATAAAAAAATATTGTTTGATAAATTGACTTTTCGATTGAAATTATAACAATGAAGTGCCGTTTTTTAAATTTATTTTTCTAAATAAAGTTTTTTCACATCTAATGAGGGATCTCATCTATCAGAAAAGGGCGTATCTTCCTCTCACCTCTTCTTCTTTCCCCCTCTCTCCCCCACATTAATTTTGTAGAGATGTCATTCATAAATTTTGGATTACATCATCAATAAAATTAATCTGTTTTCTTAGTAACGTCATCTCATGTGCACAGATTCTCCGTTTTACTGTACATCGAATGTTCGATTTCTATGCCCCGGAGGTAAACGACACCATGGCCATTTTGTCATTAAATAAATTAGTAACGATGAAACGAATTTTAATAGCTCAAAGTTATGGAAAATTGGCTCTCTGAACAAATACAAAAATTTGACATATTGTATTTTACATCCGGTATACAGATTTAGTATCAAACAAATTTTAATAACACAAAGTTATTGGACATTGGCTCCCTTGAACAAATCCATAAATGGACATGGTGTTGTTTACCTCTGTGATACAGATATAAAGATACTGTAATTTTCGATCCTTGTCACACTGAACATTTCAGTTATTTTATTGTTGTAAAGCAATACAAAGACTATTGTTTAAGGTGTTACATGTATTATTATACAATATGTATAAGTACCTCCTGGCGTTCATGGGCGCTATCTCCCTCCAAGTCTTGTTCACGGCGTTGAAGCAGCGACAGGAGTTGAAGTAGTCCATGCCGTCGAAGCCCCCGATGACGTATATCTCGTAGCCGACGACGGCGGTGCCGTGGTAAGCCCGGGGTCCAGTCCGATCCACTTCTTCCACCTGCAACAACCGTCCTACTTTTGTGTTATATAAATTAACTTAAAACTATAAGTAGATTCCAGCTTTTACTCCAGTCTTGGATTAACCTATTTTTTTCCTTTAATAATAAATTTACTAATACTGGAAACACACCAGCATACAGAGTGGAATGCAAATATTAAGGTATCTCATACGCGTCTTCCTTCTTTTTTTATTTATTGTTTAAGGTTGATTTGATTTAGTAATAATACTTTATTTATGCTTGGGCGAGTCCCTTTAGAATAATACGGAAAGACAGAAAGGTGGGCTAAGGAGCCTCACAGATACATAAACAAAAATACAGAGTAATTAAACAGTCATAGTAAAAAAAAAATTAAGTTACTTTCTAATTTTAATCAGTTAATAATAAAAAATTGATAAAAAAAAAAAAAGATGAAATAAAAATAATGAAGAACGAATTTATAATTTATGTACATATTTACAGTAGTATCTATTTACAATTTCATGGGGATTGGATTGTTAAGAAATTATTGAACAGGCGGGATTTATAGGTAGGAAGAGTATTGGATTGACAAATGTGAGAAGGAATAGAGCTCCAAAGGGATGAGAATCGGATAATAAAAGATCTGTCGAAAACAGCTGTTCGGTGGGCTATCATGTATAAATCAGAAGACCGGGAACGAGTGTTGCTGGAACGACCAGAGGATTTGAATCGAAGGACCTCGGAGATGTATGAAGGACGGTGGGATTGGATGACATGAAAGAGGAAGGATGCCAGGAAATACTTATGACGGTAGGAAAGATAAAGCCACTTCAAATCTGCATAAAAATGGGAAACAGGGGCGCCCTTTGGTATCCCGAGGATGAATCGTACAAAGTAATTTATCAAACGTTTTAGTCATTTATCAAACGCCTCGATATACTCGCCAGAGACACCCTCATATACCGTACAGCAATAGTCAAAGTGGGGAAAAATTTAGGGAGTGACTACGGAATTCAAAGGAAAATAGGTGATGAGAATAATTTTGACGTTTTAGGGTAGAAGTGGTGCGGCGGGAAATATTGGATATTTGGGTTTTCCAGGAAAGGGTTTGACCGAAGTTTATTCCAAGATTTTTGATGGTGGGGTAAAATTTGATGGGATTATCATGCAGGAACAGAGTTGGAATATTAGGAACAGTTTTAAGAAGGTTGGAGCCTATCAAGATTGCCTTCGTCTTTTCCGCATTCAATTTTAACTTGTTAGCTCTCGCCCAGTCACAAATTCTATTTTGTCTTCTGAACGTTTTTCTGTGACTGATAATTGGTCGGAGGAGGGTGATTTAGTGTGTTATATATGAACCGCTCTGCTCAATTACCTTCTCCCATCCTATATCTCTTATTATTCCCACTTTCCGAAATTCATCGAGGCGCGTTTTTATTTCGGATTTGTGACATTCATCATGGAGAAAATTTTTTAACGAATGAAACAAGTAATCATTGGATGGTTCAAGGCCTGAGGAAAACGGAGGACGAAGTAGAAAGCCCCAGTCAAACTGTAAGAGCTTCTGTGAAAGCAACCTGAGACGTTGAACGTAAGACAAAAACTCTTACAGTTTGATTGGAAGGTTCTACCTCATCCTTCGTACTCCCTAGAACTTGCCCCATCCGATTATTACTTGTTTCATTCGTTAAAAAATTTTCTCCGTGATAAATGTCACATATCGGAAAGTGAAATAAAAACGCCCAAAAAATCAACAAATAAAAAGAAACTTGTAGGAAACCCTAATAAAATTGCTTCAATCCATGCAGTTGAAGAAAATATGTTTTAAATTAACTTAAAATATGGATTTCATTCATTAATTTGAACTTAAAGTAATTTACTTTCCTCATTGGTATTACAATTATAATTTTAATAGTATGAATCCTTTACCATGAAGGGGAATTAATAATTAGAAAGCTGATCAGTTAGCTGTAGAAGGTGTCAAATCTCCTTTCAAGGACAAAACCTCTCAAAAGAGGATTCTTGAATGGATTTGGATCGGGTGTAGCAAAAATGGATGGAATATACGAAGGGAATCTAAGACAGTTTAGACCTAAGACAGTCAGTTTAGACCTAAGACAGTCTAAGTGATTGAAGTTAACCTTTTCGTTGTATTTAAAGTGATTGTCAGGCCTAAAGAGTCATGTAAGTTGTTAAGCTTCTCGACCAGTTTTTTATAAGGAATTTATTTCTGGTAAAAAAAACAACCGCGTGCAAGAGGAAATTGTTGTCCAAACTATTGTGTTCCTTGTGTGTTATTGAGTCCTTGTGTTCAGGAAACATACTTTTCTTCAAAATATACTGTGTACCCTGCCATTTTTCCAGCCTGTGATTCTGCGTTTTATTATATTCTTGTTATATTAAAAATATAAAGGTGAACTCATGACCAAGTTTTAAAATTGATTGAAGAGATAAGGAACGTATGACATTACATTGCTTATGTAAATTAATTTGTTGCACTCGAGGTTTACTGTAACTGCTATAAATGTTTCCAATTCTTTACCTGACATCCTATATATGGAGTTGAATTAATGGCAATGGTGAGTCATTTTTCAATTTTTCTACTCGAATGACAAACACAATTCAAAGTAAAGTTTCAAAACAAGATTACTTTCCTGACACCGGAGAGGAATATAATGTATAATTCACACCTTCCTGCTTGGCGCACCTAGTGGAAAAATGTTTTAAACGCAATCCCGACTTTGTTCAAGAAACTTATACAGAAGTCTGTGGTGATCCCCTCTGGTAGTTGAAAGAAAAAATACTTGACTTCCATTTCGATGACAAAGCTTTGGTCGAAAAATTTATACGAATAAAATGGCTATAAAAATGGATGTTTTCCAATTGATAATTTTATTAATAACAGGCCACTTTCAACTTAAATGGTTTTTGTGCGGAAATTGTCTACACTACAAAATAGACTAACACGAACTAAAGTGCTTCTAAGATATAGAGCGACTTTGACAGGGTCACCTAATAGGTCCTTTTGGAAAAATCATAAGGTAGGCAACAAAGAAACAACAAGTTTCCTTTGATTATTCTTGGATTTGAAAAATAACGAACTGGACCACTTATTAGGACTTTACCACAATCTGTCGCCACAATATAAAGTCAGGTTTTTTTAATCCCAGAATGGATCAATATATGATATAACGAAAGTAAGTTTTCTAATCCAATAACTTTTAAATTTCTGGGCCTTAAAATTGTTTCTTATTCTATTAAATACTGTTTTAATTCACTGACTAAAGAAAGTCTATTATTTTTTTAAACTAATCCTCTCTAACCATATTGTTTTACCTAACGAAGGTTGTATTATCATGATATGGATCGTTCCTTTTCTATGAGCGGTCTACGAACTAATATCAATATCAGTGATAATCGTTACCTTCACCCACCGATCAGCACGAGTGTCGTAAGTCTCGATGTAGTTGGTCGGAGAGCCTCCGCTCCACCCTCCGATGGCGAACAGGATCTCGTGGGGCACCCGGGGGCGTGCGATCTCCGGGGTCGTCACCTCCCCCTGCCGCTGAGTGATCATCTCCAAGTCGTAGAGGAACCGCAAGGTGTCGATGATTATCGGCCGGCACGCTTCGTTCCCGACTACGTAAGGATGCTCCTTCACCTAGATAAAAATTGTATAATACAACTTCATAGATTATTTATCACAAAATATATAAAATAAATAATAAATCCCAATGTACGATAATTCATAATATAACACTTTGAGAATCATATGTGGTACATTTTAGCTTAGATGATTTTTTTTTTGTTCTCGCCTAACTTGCCTTTTATGCTACAAGGATATTCCCGGGCAAAGGGAGAGGGCGGGAGAATTTCGCCGAACTCAAAGCCCCACCGGGGACCGGGATTTACATTCGTAAATTTTTTCCACTTAACTGCGGTTATTAGGTTGCTGGACAACGCGCGGTGCAGTGCACACAAATAGCCCGCTCGTCCAAGCAAAAAAAAAAAACATCGCACCACAGCGTCATCCATTTTGTTTATGGAACGGCAACTTGCGGTTGATTCGGAATTTCTCCAATTAGTCTAACAAAGTGCCAATTTAAGGACCTAGTGGATAGCAGAGACGCGTAAAAGCTACACTGAATACCAAGTACCAAGTATTTTACTCAAATTGTATCACTATTGGGAATTCAATCACTACTTCAGTTTCGATATCAACTGAAGTAATAATTATATTTTTTGGTACTTAAAAATGGTCAGTCTATCTATCTATACTGACTCTACAACACGCTTAGCGAGTCATTGCCTCCGCCAACAACATCCGCCAGGTGTCTCTGCTTTCTGTTGCCACCATCCAATCTCGAACTCCTAGCTTCCTGGCATCTTTGTCCACGCTGTCCCTCCATCTTAACTTTGGTCTTCCTACTCGTCGCGCTCCATTTCAACCAACACCTTCTTTGGGATCATATCGTCTCTCATTCTGGCCACATGACTTGCCCTTCTGGGACGGACTGATCTTATGAAATAGCCATTATTGATCTCATTAAAACGATTAGAGATCTTGATTATTCCTCCTTCTTCACTCTCCGTTCACACACACTGGACCATTAATTCTTCTTAGAAATTTTCGTTCAAATATTAGGAGGTCCTGCTCGGATACCTTGGTTATCGTCCAGGTCTCTGATGCATAGCTTAAAACCAACCGGTCTGATAAGAGTCATATAGAGGATTACTTTCAGTCACCAGAGTGCTTTTCATGTGTTGACTCATACCATAATAGGAACGGTTGGCCAGCAAAATTCTTTTGTTTATCTCTGTGTCCATCCGGGTATAAACAGTGATCTGTGAGCCCAGGTATGTGAATTCTGATACTGACAAATAAAGGTCATTATTTGAGTAATATACTCGGTACTCAAAGTAGCATTTGCTCATCTCTGGTGGATGGTCATCTTTAGTATCTGATGAAATTTACAATTAATTAGTGTTTTATTTGGCCACTCAAATATTCATATTTATTTCCAAAGATTTATTTTTGTTGTAGCTTATATACTTTTTGATAAACATTGGAAAGTGATGGCGGTTAAGGAATTAAAGAATTATATGTTGTGTTTAAGTACTAGGTCATTTGATCATCAATTTTCATCTAAATTTTATAATTTTGGCCATACTCGACTAAAATGGAGGTATCTCATTGAAGAATTCTGATTTATTAAATGGCATCGTAAATTTCAAGCTGAAATATGAACTTAGTTCTTGAGATATGCTCTACTACTACTTATAATTAGAGGTTTTGTCGTGGTATTTGTTGCAAATTTACAGTATGGACTTCTGGGATTATGATAGGAAAAGCTGACGGTTAATAATCCTAGAAAGAAACAAAATATATGAAAGATAAAGAGAAAGATTAGGAAGTACGTAGTAATAAATTGCAGTACATTAATTTATTATCTATTTGTTGATTATGATAATATATGTTTACATGCTCCAGGAAGAATTGTGTATCCATCAATCCGAGCCTTATCTGCCCCATCAGGACAACAATGTGCTTCTTCCTCTTCTCGGCGTCGTAGTTGATCCACCGAAGGACGAATTCCCAAACGAGTTCCTCGCTCTTCACGTTCAGTTCGTCAGAGCCAATTACATCCCTTATTTCCTCCACATCTAGTTCCAGAATTTCCAGGGACTGTTGAGACACTTTGACAAAGTTCCTCATCACATACGTGAAAGCTTCTTTTTCCAAATCGGTGCAAAAGTGATCCCTGCAATAAACAATTATGTGATTATGGTTCAAATATTAGGTATCTTACTTTTATTTTTACTCCTAAACACTTGTTGTAGAACACTTGTGAACAAATCCTTCTCTCTTCTTACATTGAAATATTTATATTCGTTAGCGCCATATTTTAAGGCTTTTAGCCATGGGATGTCCTTAAACTAATTAATTTTTTTCTTTTTGAAGGAAAGCTTTGAATTCATGCGGGGAGTTCAAACAAAAATTTCGTCCACAACATTGAAAATTTTCATGCGCGTTCAACATTCAAGAATTCAAGAAAAATTATGTTCCGCGTTTGTCTGGTTAGGTTCAGATTCATAGGGCACATCACCTACTATCGTTAGTTCGATTTTGATCAAATTTTCAAATATTATGCGGTTTAGTATCAATTTTAAACCTACTATATTTCAAAAACAGCTTGTTCAATATGTCTCAAAGTTAGCGAAGAGTTGGGGATCACAAAAAATTTCATTTATACAAATTTATTGATTTATATATCGCCTAATACCGTTACTGCTATTTTGATGAAATTTTCCGACATTGTGCCTATAACTAAAATTTTGTAATTGTAAAATTGAAATTTTGCGTAAAATAAAATTGAGAAAAATTCATAAATTTAGAACTAATACCATCCATAAATCCAATGAATCCAGTAGGAATTTATAGATTTTAGCGGACATTGACAAATCACATGAAAAATTAAAAGAAAGATTAGGAAATAGCCAACATAATAGATAGTAAGTACCTAGCAATAAACCTTGGTACCTGATGATTCCATATCAATTTTATCAAAGCATCCTCTACTTTCGTTTACTGATTCGTAAACGTATTTTCCTTGATACGCTTATATTTAATAAAATATTTAATTCAAACTATTTTATTAAGTATCAAGGAAAATACGTTTGCGAATCAGAAAACAAAAGTAGAGGGTGATTTGATAAAATTGATATTGATACCCTCATACTAGACTTAAAGGTAAAAGTAAAAAGTTCTCTCGCCTGATTGTAAATAGTGTGCATAGGTAGCATGTGTTTTTTTCTCAGTTTTAATTTTATAATTTTTGGATTATTTTATTTTATTTATTGTATATACATATAATAATAATAATAAAAAAGGCTTAGCGAACCCGAAGGTTCGATGCCGACACCACCAATCGCTTATTGCACACCTCCCTCCATCGTTCGCCGTCCAAATCCAGTCCCTTCAGATCGGCTTTAATGCAATCTTCCCACCTTTGCTTCGGTCTACCCCTCGGACGCTTACCATTCGGCACAGCAAATATTAGCCTTTTAGGAATTCTCTCGTTACTAAGTCCAACAACTTTACAAGCCCATTTGATTCGCCGCGATGAAATTATCTCAATTATATTACTCGGATACAGTTCACGCAATTCGGCGTTTTGTAACCGTCTGAACTCTCCGGTTAACTCATCCTTCTTCGGTCCAAATATTCTACGTAATACTTTATTTTCAAAAACCTTAAGACGCTGCTCATCCCTTAATGTAAGCGGCCTCGCACCCATAAAGAACTGTAGGTAAGATAATTGTTTTATAGATTCTAATTTTTAAGTTTCGGGACAAGAGGCGCGAACTAAGTAGTTTTGTCACAGAAAAATAACAAGCATTCCCCGCCTTCAGTCTAACCTTAATTTCTTCTTCAATTTCGTTTTTTCTAGTTACCGTACAACCTAGATACCTAAACTTATCTACCTGTTCAAACATATATACATACTGTATATACATATACTTTTTGATTATTATTTTGCTTCATTTAATTTATATTTTTTGTACATATAGTGTGAATGTATCCTACCTCACTATAACTAATGTCCAAGTGACAGAGTGTTGTAATACTTAATAAATAAAACAATATTTAAAAAATTCAAACTTAGAGCTAAGTTTGGTATAGTGTGTAAATACTCTAAAATCCATTCCATTTAACAAATCAAATTAATGTAATATTTTTAAAATGAGGCAGTTATTGAATACATTCAATAAGGAAATTACACGAATTTTTTAAACTTAATGCGATTTATTATATTATACAGTATGCATGTGTTTTAGTTGTTATTTTGATTAGTTTAGTTCTTTTGTTTATATACATTTATTTTTATTATTATTAGTTTGTGTATTATTTATTGTAAATAGAGTGTGAGTGTGCTCTCTGAACACTATTATAAATGTCCTTTATTGTGACAGAATGTAATATTTCTGAATAAATAAAAAAAAAGAAAAAAAATGCGATTTATTAGGCTTTTTTGATTAGAATATTCATTTTTCAAATAAAATTGTAATCTTAGGGGAGTGTATGCGTAAAAGCGTGTCCATATTTTTTTTCCATTATCAATTACATGTAGTCAAAGAAGAGATAAAAATGTACCCGAGACATTTCATGTCAAACGGCAGTGACTCTAATAAATTATCTGAAACATGTGGATTTAAACAATTAAAACATTAAATTAATTTTTTCTAGCTTAGGCCATTGTCTCTCGATTCATTCTTTAAACACGAGATCTTAGCCTACAAACCTGTATATTCTGTTTTACAGAACAGTTTCCTTTGAAAAATCCTTTATATCCTTATATGTTGCCCACTTTAATACGCAAAATCTCATATTTTTCTTCATTCCATATCCACAGCTATCAATATCGCTAATAAATAATATGTAAAACTAAATACTTGTATTCTAGTATTGTCAGCCTTTTTTACTATTATTTCACAATTATTATTTATGTTGCTTACTTGTTCAAATATGTAAACATATAGACAAGTATTTATCTTTAATTTCATTTTTAGTTACTTATGCTTGTCCTTTATTTTTGTTGCAATGTTACGTAACTATAATTTAATTATTTTGCTTGCTTCCTCACTACCGAAGGTAGGGAAGCATTGTATTCGTGCGAGAGGTTAAAAAAATGTTGAGCTCAGAATCGAAAAGTTCCATTCGCATTTTACGTTTCAGACATCAAGGATCAAATTTGGATCGGTGTCTATTTGTCTGTCTATCTGCAATGTGACATATCACCTAGTACCCACCCATCATCCGATTTTCATGAAATTTTCAGGAATTTTGCGGTTTGGTATCTAGATAGTGTCATATCAATTTTATCAAATTCCATCCAACACTTTCGCTTACGCAGGCGCAAACGTATTTTATTAGATATACCAATATTTCAGAAACAGCTGGTTCGATTTGGCTCAAAGTTGGATGAAAGGTAGGTATTGGTGAAAAATTAATGTTGTGTCAATTTTATTGAATTCTATTCACTACTTTTTCTTATGTATGCGCAAATTTATTTCCCTTGATACGTCTATATCTCTAAAAATGCCCTTTCGATTTGGCTGAAATTAGGAGGGAAATTACGGATTGGTAAATAGACAATCAAGTATGTATGAATTTGTTCAAATTCCGTCCACTACACAAAAAAAAAATAAGACTTCCACTTTGGGGTCAGGCAATTTATTATTTGACACGCCTATAGTTTCAAAATTGCGCGTTCGATTTGACCAAACTTGAAGGAAATTTGGAGAGTACTATAGAAATTAAACGGTATCAATTTCATTGAATTCCATTTAATAATTAAAATTAATATAAATAATTAAGAGAATAATAGTTGGGGTGGTCAGTCAAAAAGTAAGGCAAAAAATAAATGATAATATTTATTTTTTACATGTAAAAAATAAATATTATCATTTATTTTTTGCCTTACTTCTTGACTGACCACCCCAACTATTATTCTCTTCATTATCCACGACAGTCAACCAATTACCAATTATGAATATAAATAATTGTTCTGAATAGTTGTTGGCTGTGAAATTTGGAAGGCATTGGATCATCTGGAGTGGGAGTTAGGTTAACACGCCATTTTGATGGGGTAATAAAATTTTAGGTTTTATTCAAACAGTCAGCCCTGATAATGGTCTGAACTTCAGGTCGAAATGTCGGCTAATGTCAAAATAAATAGTATCATTTATTTTTGCCTTGTTATTTGACAGATCACTCCAACTATTGTTCTCTTCATTATTCACGACAGTCAACCATTTACCAAACATAAATATAATTCCTATTGATCATTGTCTTTATTCTTAAAATGCTAATAAAGATAAAGAATTTACTTTTATTCTTCTTCTTCTTCTTAATCGATAGACCGAACTGACGAACTTGGCAAACCTTTTTACCACATATTGTTTTATGAAGATAATTATTACCTGGAGTACATCAAAATTCCTATGCAGTTTTCAGGATTGAGTTGAGATTTAAGATAGTCACAACAGAGCTGGAGAACGCCCAGAATGGAGAGGTAGTCCGCCGCTGACAGGAGCCGGGTCACGTTGTTCATCGTGATGCTGATCTTGCGGAGGTAGACGTACTCCAGCAGCGAGTGCATGATGTCCTTCGTGATCCCCGGCAGGATGATGTCTCGCTTCTCCTTCGAATGGAGAGTTGTCGTAAAAAGTGATCTGAAAAAAGTAGCTCGCCAGTTGATGCATTAAAACTATAATCTATTATAAACGTTATAAATTCATGTTTATAGGTTAACTCTTAACTTGTATCTCTTTTCGAGCTAATTGCTTATTTTAGTCCTATTATTAACATTACAAGAACAGTTTTCAGATCCCAAAAAGGAGTTATTGAGATAGGAGCAATCGAATCCGACCTGGGCAGGAATTAACTTCGTGAGTCCACCACTACAAAATATATTGGCATCTCTTGCTTATGTTCATTTCATTACTAGCCAATATTCACAATTTTGTAACCATAAGAAACAAAGCAAGTCTTGTACACATCTAAAATATTTAGCCAGCAAATTATTTACATTATATTAACAGAAATGTTACCTCCCTCTCCCCCCTCCCTCTGACTATGTTTACCTAACTTTTTGCTATCTGAAAAAGGACAACTGGGAAATCCTCCCCCGAACTTACCACTTAGTGCCAGTAATTGAAAGCCTTCAGTGCTCGAACCACGGTTAGTAAGAGAAAATATTACAAATATTTATGCATAGATTATATATATTCTACCATTGTCTTTTTTTTATTTATTTAGACATATAATATTCTGTCATGGGGGCAATAATTATATTGATAAATGAACACATTCACACCGTATATACAAAAAAAAATTAACAAAAGTAATATAATAACTAAATAAAAATAAATAAAAACTATGTACAATAAAAAAATAAAATAACCTAGCTAACATAAAATTTTTAGTTTGTAGAACATTTTACATATTTTATTTTTAATATTATGTATTGTAATAATAGTTTGTTTATTGTAATAAGATTTATGTAGCATCAATCAGTATAATTTATTATTTACCACTATCGGTCGTATAATATTATATCTCTGATTGTATTTTAAAATTTTCAGTCCCCACTTATCCGAGTTGAACAAATCCGTTACCTAGGACTCCACCTCGACAAACGACTCACATGGAATCCTCATACAAGACTGAAACGACAAGAAACCGCTCGACGTTTCCGACTACTCCAACACTTACTAGACAAACGCTCTAAGCTTTCAATCAATTACAAACGACTCATGTATATGACAATAATAAGATCTATTTGGGCTTACGGAATTGAGCTCTGGGGCTCCACTAACCCATCGAATTCCTCTCGCATCCAATCCTTACAATCCAAAATCCTTCGTAAAATCTTCAACGCTCCTTACTTTGTCACAAACAAATTCATCCATAAAGACTTAATGTTCCATATGTTTCCGATTTGGCCCAATTCAGATACCTATCCTTCCATAACAAACTGCAGAACCATCCGAACCCTCTTGTTTCAAACCTTGATTCCTCCTCGATCCCTGATAACCTTCCGAGGCATCTGAAAAGAAGATGGCCTCGGGATCTTCTAATATAGAACTTTAATTTGAGTTCTACCAATGGGTAGTTTCTCTTCATGTTGTACATGTCATGTTACCACTGTCACATTTACTTGTTTTATTTTTAATGTAATTCAATTGTAAATTTCATTAAAAAAAAAAAACATTTTCAGTCCCCTGAAGATGACCCACATTGACCCACCGCGTGGAAACTTTGGTACAAATAAAAAAAATTGTATAATGACTGCGTTCTGACTATCTATCTCTCACTGCAAAATATTTAATCTTTCACACCCATCTAGATCGGAATCGGACTCTCGAATACAGATAGTGCTGCCTTAATGTGGCCAACCAAAATTGGCTGAAAAACTAGTTTATCTTTCAATTATTTTAACTTTAAAGGTAGTAATAATCATTAATCTGTTTGATTCAGAACTCAACTGTTGTTAACTGCTGTCAAGTTAACTGCTGTAAACTGACACAGGTTAGACATAATTTATTAATTAATTAATTAAAGTTTGAATAAATACCTAAAATACGGGCTACATGCTGAGAGTATCGCTCTGTGAACCGAGACCTTGCCTCCATCTTCCAGCCTCAGGGTGGCATCGCATAGCATATTCTGGATGTGCAGCTCGTACAAGGAGCGCATTGACGTCTGGCTCATGCACTTTCCAATTCTGCATTCACCATCTTGCTCGTGGAACATATATACCTCCCCTGCATACACATATTTTTTATTAGTTATTAACCTCTGATTTGTCTCTAGTTGGATAAATCCCATACCTTGGAATCTACATATTTTTTTATTTCGGTTGCTTTCTACCTTTTAATTAATGGCACAAGGGGAAGTTGTTCTAGAGGTACATCCAAACCTATTCTTACTAGAGTGGGATGATCGATACTCATTCCATAGGTCCGCCACGAAATAAGTTTTAATCCACCCGGACCGGATTCGAACTGGCATCACTAGTTTCGAGATTTTAACATTCTCTTTAATGTTCTTACGCTTTAACATGTTTGGCTATCACGACCTTAACTGAACTATACATAAAAGACCCGATGGACAGTGAGCTTTCCGACATTCCCGTACAAATATCACCCCAGCCATTCAAATATCCATAATTACAAGGTTAATTTTAAATCACTCTATCATTAACACATATGTTGATAACACAAGTGTGTTATCAGTTAATAATGACCCATTTCTTAGATCCCAAACTGTTATAGAATGGTGTGGAAACTGAAGGATTTCGACAAATCCCATCAAATATCCTTCATCCTTTTACCGTACTTATGACTTCCTCCTCTACCATATCCTTTATTAATATTCCAGCTATCTCTGTTGAACAGACCCGCTACCTAGGATTGCACTTGGCCAGACATCTTACTTGGAATTGGCATACAACAGTTGACTAAAAAAGACTCATTTACTTAACCATTATAAGGATTATTTGAACTTACGGAGTTCAGATTTGGGACTCTACTAAACCATCAAATTCCTTTCGTATCCAATCCTTACAATCCGAAATCCTTCGCAAAATCGTCAATGCTCCTTTCTTTGTGGGTGATGAAATTATTCATAATGGTCATAATAAACCTTATGTTGTCAATTTAGCCCAATCCAGATACCTATCATTCCATAATAATCTTCAGAACCAACCGAACCCTCTCGTTTCTAACCGTTTTTCTCTTCGATTCCGGTAAACCCTCTGACGTGTCTGAAAAGAAGATGACCTCACGATATCCGAATGTAGATAAATTATTACTATTGGGTAGTTTCTCACCAAATCTTTTCGTATTATTTTATTCCTATGCCCACATTTACGAAATGCTTTTTAAATTTCTGTGAATCTTTTCAGGAAAAAAGTTTTAGAATTAAAGTTCCAAGGAGCTTTTTGTGATGAGTTTCTTGGATTATGATAAAAGTACAACTTTTATTTATTCAAGTTCTTAAAAAAAGTAACTTTAAAAGAAAAATAAACAGTGCTTTGGCTTATATTACAGTTATAATTTGTCTTAAATGAATTATACACGATATAGCTATTTTTTAGATCGAATTTGTAGTGAAATCAATATAACTTTTAAATAAAAGTTCTGTTAAACTTTTACTTGCTAGGTAAAAAGTTCTAGTTCCGAAATAAATGAAAATAAAGATTTCTGCCATACAGAAAATGATTAAAAATAAAAGTTAAAATTTCATTTCAAGCTGTGGTACAATATTTCGAAAAATTTTCTTGCCAAATTCCAGAAGATGCGAAAAACCTAAACAACCATGTTCTGATGGACTAGAGACATCAGAGCTCCGTGCAAGATATAAGAGGCTATTGTGGATCAGGTTGGGGTTTGGATAACACTCAGATTAGAATCAAACTATTTTCTTTAAACTGAAATATCACGAATCACTTATCGTTGAAACGTACTAATCACAGTCACAATTTTTATAAATCTGTAATCAATCTAAATTGATAGTAAAAATTATATTAATCACGACTGCGATAATTTAATTTAATTAAACGACATTTATCGGTATGACATAAAACGATAAACTAATCCCTTTACAATGGTCTAATAATAAAATAACCTGAGCATGGAACCTCCTCCTAAACACCCTATAACATCCATTTATCTCACATTTTTTGAAAATAGATTTGAACTGATTTCTCAGCAGAAAATTGTAAAGTACTACATAAAAAAAAAACTAAACTTGAATTACATCGTGATTAAACAGGAGAACAATTTGAGTTCCAATAACTCCCAGAATAGTATCATAGATTGTTTAAGAATTTATAACAGACAGGAGTTGCTCGTTAACTTCATCGAAAGGCAAATAAATTCATTAACTAATTATCAAATGGCCAATTAGTAAATTCAAATAATATACATATGCAACCAATCCCTTGTACTGAATAGAGTGAAAATTGAATAAATATATCGTTATTTAACATCATAACCAAACATCACAACACTCCAAGGAAAATCACTTCGATCTATATCACTCCTGACTTCTTACTTCCAGCTATCATTTAGAAAGAAAGGAAGTATATTTAGGTTATGCGGTGATGGTATTAGGATTTTATGCTTTTAGTCAAGAACAAGCCAAACAAAAAGTAATCTTGATATTCATCGTGAGTGAAAAAATTCAATATGAAAGGTTATAAATTGGTTTTAAATAAAGTTCCCCTCGATTTTCTAATAAAAAAATAATACTTATAGCTCAATCATCCTAGTTAAATATTAAAAATAAAATATTTATCTTGAAATTGAAATACGTCAGTTCCTCCGTAGAAGAGGTTCGGCAATGTGCGAACGCTCACCTGGCATCTCTCCTAAGACGCTGACTTCCTGGAAGCCCCTGTGGGCCCAGAAGTTCTAATTCTTCAGGATTCTTGAATTTATTTTTGGTTCACCAGTGCAGATTACCAATCCACCCGTAAGTAATTTTAAGGCCTCAATGGTTATGCTTATCCATACTTTTTTTTTTCATTTTAGTTATGTATCGTAACTGACAAGCTGTTTTTGTAAAGCTTATTAATTCCGTAACTGTGGTTACCGTTAATGAAGTAATTGTAACCTTTACGAATTCTAATTATTTAAAATGATATAAAAGATTTAACACATTCGGTTTAAAAGTTTCAATATTTTTATATCATTTCTTGATGGACAAATGGGTTTTGTGCAGTTTTTCCCAAATCTACGTTCTGTCAAAAGAAATATTTAGTTCATCTGAATAAGTTGTAGTAATAATTTATTTCGTTAAATATTAAATCATAAATGGCACTGATGTCACATAATTTGGTCACAAACTCGAGAATAAAGTGGCCTTCAATAATATCGGACCATTTGGCATGACGTCCACCTCAATGTCAAAATAACATTAAATAACCAAATATTTTTGTAGGACATATTGTTTCTCGTTCGGTTTGTTTAGTGATTATTTACACTAGTAATGCATTTCAGCAACTTGTCTAAAACTCGATGATATGATATTAAAAATGGATAGGTTATGTTATTGAAGACTTATTTAGGAGGCTCATTAGTCTTTAGGTATGGAATGCTGGTCGCACATTTGTGAGCTAATGTGTCGATTTATTATCTTATTTATAATATATTTCTCATAAATATAAATAGTATTATCCTGTTTATCGAATTGTTTTCTAATAACGTTTTATATTTTACAAAGTTAGATGATATCTTCTTGGCCTTGTTAATAATACGTCACTTCCTCAGGATATTTTAAGACAACAGTCAGTAGCACAGGCGGATTTACGGGGGAGGGCGTTCGGGCTGAAGCCTCCCCCCCCCAAAAAAAAACGGTCAAATATAACTATGTTTTATAGAAAAAACTATCTCTTAAAGTATTATTGTTCGTGTAATTACATTTAATAGGACTTCAAGAATCACCATTACATATAGGTAGTTAATTTCTTTCTTTCTTTTTTTCAAATTAATTATCGTTATATATATGAAAACAAATCTTTCGGACTGAAGCCCCCAAAATTAAATCCTGGATCCGCTAGTGGTCAGTAGCAGCCGTTGTCATCAACCTTAAATATGAGTAACTCTTACAGTCTTAAAATACTGCTTAAATGAAAATAAATCAATCATCTAGTAAAGTTCATGACGCTTTAAAAGGTAATGAAAAAAAATTCTAAAAATCTATCTACTGCTGAGATACAATATGAAATCGAAAATATTTGGTAAAACTGATAGTTAAAAAAATCTTCCTCGATACATGTCTCGAAAACATCTTAAAATAAAGAACGTAGTCTTCAATTTTTTACTGGATTATTAATTTTTTTTTCATAAAAACTACCAATGGAATATTACTGAATATTATATTTGGTTTTCATTTGAATCACTCAAACAAAAGAGGCACTGTGTGCTCAATGAAATTCTCGATATGGGTTATTTTAGTTGGTACAAAAATCATTTGAAAGAAATCATATAGTTCCCATTAAAAATATTATAATGATTCAGAAACTGTACAAAAAATTCATAAAAGGTCTAAACAGACAGCTTCATAAAACTCTTCATTCTACTGTTTCTTTCCTTGGTGTAAAACCATTTGAAATTCCTCAGTAATGATATATTGCTAATATATGATTCGTTACATAAAGTAGCATCTATCAGTTTTCGATAACCTTTAGAAAACTCTATTTCCTGAGATGAATCTTTCATAGAGTAATAAGATATACAAGGCTATTTTCCTCTTCAACCGCGAGGTAGGAGCAATTTGCAAAGAAATGAGCAAATTGATAGGACGTAAGCCTAACCAACACGTAAAACCTACAATTGGATTCTTCTTCCGGATCTTGGCTTAAATAAGTTCTTATATTGGTGATAAGCAGACATGATTGCCTAGGTATTTTTTCAAATCTTATGAGTTTCACAAACTACACAATAATGTACGACTAATCGAAAATAGATTATCGATTCAAAATCTTTGGAACACGAAAGATGGCCTAACCATTTACTTATTTTTCAGCTAAATGGGTATTTGAATAGATTTAGTACTAACTATACACAAAGAAAAAAATTCGACGAAATGTCTCGCACAACCTCCGCTTACTACCATACATCAGCCGATTTTTTTAAAGTTAATACACATTCAGAATCTAAACTATATATAATATGGTCTTACTAAAATCTTACTACAATGTAGAGAATATTGAAGGCACAATATTGTCATCGATATTAATATCAGCCTATAACTACCAATACCATCAAGATATTATAAACACTTTTGAAATATGAATATTAATATATATATTGATTCGCTAGCACATAGGGTCATCCAAAAATATGTTATTTTCCTTTTAAAATTAATTAATGAAAATATTAATTATTTTACTCTGTCCAGAGCTTCGTCATCCTCAGCTTTTTTCCACAAATTTCCAGTTAACCAATTATGCCTTCCATTCACCCATAGATCGGATTCTACGATACGCTAATTTATTTTCATTCTAGATAGATTTTTGTGACAATTGGTGGTCTTGGTTTGAGAAAGCTCTAACTAACAAATTTGGACAAACTGAGTTTTCTGAGTGAGAATGATCCCGTATGCGCTAAGAAATTCTACTTAAGGATGGCAATCGATAGTCAATATTATCGAAATATCGATATTTTCCTGTACTACGTTCTAGACGAAATAGAAAAGATAAGTATAATTTATTCCTAACAATCAGATTCATATATAATATCTAGATCTTTCCCGAAAGGATAGTTTTAGTTTTTAAATTAAAATGTCACCCCCATACCAGACTGAAACGACTAGAAACCGCCCGACGTTTTCGACTACTGCAGCACTTACTAGACAAACACTCTAAGCTTTCAATCAATTACAAACGACTCATATATATGACAATAATTAGACCTATTTGGACTTACAGAATTGAGCTTTGGGGCTCCACTAAACCATCGAATTCCTCTCGTATCCAATCCTTACAATCCAAAATCCTTCGTAAAATCCTCAACGCTCCTTACTTCGTCACAAATAAAATCACCCATAAAGACCTTAATGTTCCATATGTTTCCGATTTGGCCCAATCCAGATACCTATCCTTCCATAACAAACTCCAGAACCATCCGAATCCTCTCGTTTCAAACTTTGCTTCCTCCTCGATTCTTGATAACCCTCCGAGGCGTCTGAAAAGAAGATGGCCTCGAGACCTTCTAATATAGAACTTTAATTTGAGTTCTACCAATGGGTAGTTTCTCTTCATGTTGTACATGTCATGTTACCAATGTCACATTTACTTGTTGTATTTTCCATGTAATACAGTTGTAAAATTCATTAAAATTAAAAAAAAAAATTAAAATGTTAAAATTTCGAAGGGGCGATATTGATAATATCCAATATGATACTATCGATGGTTAAATAACTAATATCGTAAGGAAAATATCGGTATTTCTTTAAGATCGACTTTCAATGGCCATCCCTACTACAACCACATTAAAATATTTGAATTTTAAAAAACTCTGCTATGTAAATAATTCTATCCGTCTTAAACGACGTGAAATGATTTATATTTACATACAAATATAGTTGGGTTGTAAGCTACTTTCTATGAAAATTGAAACTTGAAGAAGAATTCCTGTGTCTTCCACAGCCGAACGAAACTCTTCTGACAATACATTAAGTTACCGCTATGTATTAACCATAGCAAGTTGCCTTTTAAACTAAATATGAGCTGCAGAAGACAAGGAAAAATTTGACAGAAGACTGCCGACATCACAAAGACACTGTATACACGTTACCTGATGTCTTTACGTATATACTTAAGGACCGAAGGCACTGGGGAAGGTCTTGTCTTAGTGTAACTGATTAATAGTAACAGGTTAAATAACTGGTTCCCTTTAGGGTGTGGCCAGTTAAAATAATTTTTACACCGAAGTAGAGGACCATTCAAAACCATCCTTGCTCCACTCTGGATATTTGTATAAGATCTCGTAGATGAAAAAGCTGGAGGTCTTTCCGTGTATTTTTCCGGTCTTGGGTACTAAAGAGGCAAATTGGCCTACACGGATTGGGGAGATGGGCGTCTTGACAGAGTTCGGACGTGGGCTTTGACTGCATAAGAGAAGATTCAATCAGCAGTTGCAGTGATGAAACCTACTAACTACACTATAAACCATAGCTAAGTTTAAATACCCAATAATAGATTTACTAATGTTAAAATATTTCGTGGCATCATTCTCGAACAGTCTATCTGAAATCATATCTTCACAATCAAATTCGTTGAATTACAGTTTTATTTTATTATTATTATAAATATTATTTGTACATATACTTTGTGAAACGTAAGAATAAAATAAGTTTTTTTTTTTTGTAAAATTTACTTTAATTCTGCCACTCATTTATATAATGATGATCACAGGTAATGTTGGTAATTAGAAAGTATGATAAACACAAACCGGCCTTTGAGAAAAGAAATTCGCTTCATTAATCCTGGACCAATCAGTATATCATAGATTCAAATTTGTTTACCTATTTTTTTTTATTATTAATTTTTATTAAACATTTTTGGATAATTACTCTCAATAATTATCCAGTGGCATCCCAAAATAATTTCACACTCCAAAACATAGCATTACCTTATACATTAATGTTGTGTTTACACAACCTACAATTCCAGAAGCTTTCTGAATATTGACATACATAAATGCAAGGAACGGAAGTAGTTGTAATGGTTCGTGAAAGGCACCCAAATACTTCACCATGTTTCAACATTCATAGACACTAACAACTCACTTATATTTTTATATAGATGTGCATCATTTATCGCGCTTAAGACGGTTAGAATTATTTTCGTAGTAGACTTTTTTAAATTAAAATATTTTTCAATTAATTAAATTATTAGAGCATTTTTAGTTTTGAACAATTAATTTGCATAACATATGTTCACATATCATTTCAAACCAATTAATAATCGAGATACTTAAAATAAAATAAAATTGTTTGCAAGTATTTTGAAATCAAATGATTCACGGGATCAAAGTTAAAAGTCGCCCAAGCCATTTGATCAAAAATCGTTACATAATTTTTAGAATACAGATAAAACTAACTAAAAACAATAATTTGTCAGTGTTTTATGGTCGCATTGTTTCTAAACACGTTCGAAAGCCATTCGCTCAAAAAATCGATACATACCTTTCAATGGATTGATTAAGCACTATTAAATAATTCTTTCACTCGACAAAGTGACTAACCCCAATTTCTACATTCTTAAAATTGTTTTAGTTATATTTCCAGTGGGATAATTTATATCATTATTCACAGTTCTATATTTCAACACTGCCTATATTCTATATTTCAACATCACCTAGTCTGGAATCAACTTACTCACTGTCTGTACAGATATTTTTAGGACGATAATACGCGACCTCATAGGAGAAAGTTTGCTCATCGATGTCGTGAAAATATTGAAATTTTCCATCTGCCCCTTCACATAATGTATCCAGATCTCAATCCAATTGAACACATGTGTGATGCTCTATAGTTTGCAGATTCTTAATTTTCAGCAACTGAGAGGCGTATTACCATGTTTATGGTATCAAATTCCTTATGACATGAGTGACAACATTATAAACAGTATGCTTAATAGGTGCACAGGGATTCTCGGTAAATGAGGATAATAGACAAATTATTAAATTTTACAAAATGTTAACAATTCGCAATCATAAAAATAAGACCACAGAAACCTTTAATTTTATTATTTAAAAAAAATTATATATAAAATTTTCTGAGGTCGAATAAAATGTTATTTGTATTAGTCTTCAAATTACATTATTCTAAAAATAAAATAGTAATTTTATGAAAAATAAATCATACATAACTAACAATATCCCTATTTATTTTAACAGTATATAAGTGGGGGCGGGTTGCCGAGCGGCAGAGAATATTTGCATAAATTTTATATATGTTACCAATTCGTAATCATAAAAATAATATCACATAAACCTTTAATTTTATTATTTAAAAAAAATTATAAAATTTTCTAAGGTCAAATACAATCTTATTTAAATTAGTTGTCAAATTATATTATGATAAAAATAAAATAATAATTCAAGTATTAAAGGAAGTTGGTCGACTGTTCTATATATCAGGGAAGGTAAATATTCAGGACGCAGTCATTATAAAATTTTTATTGGTGACGACGTTTCAACACAAACATGTGGATCATCAGCAGCGCGTGTTTCGAGCACTGGAGTTACCTGAATACTTGAATACTTCCTCCAGTGCTCTAAATACGATGACCCACATGTTTGGGTTGAAACGTCGGCACCAATAAAAACTTTATAATAACAGCGTCCTGCATATTTATCACTTATAATATCCCTATTCATTTTTGAACAGTATATAAGTGGGTGCGGGGTTGCCGAGCGGCCTAAAACGCGTTTTTAACTTTTAGATTAATCTCCCGCGAATGCCCCCGTAAAACCCCGTATAACCGAAAAGAGATGGGAAAAAAAAGGAATGTGAGGAAGCTATTCAGACATGGTAAACGTTCCTAGTTTTGTTACTAATGTAGCAATATTGATATATTCAAACCTAATCTGTTCCACCATACACCAATGGTGCCTTGGTGCCTTACTACTTTATTAAAATAAATAAAACATAAATATTTACAATGACATTGCATATTTCTGAACTCGTTGATATATACAATAGTGAGCACGCAGGCTAAACTGCTGTTAGTGACAAAAAAATCAGATAATCGCATTGTCCATGTGACCACCGTGAAGGTGACAGCGTTCGTTGGAAAAGCGCGAATAATCGTGGAAACTATTCCTCTGGTAAGGAACATGTAGCCTTCCGTCTTCAAGCTGTCTTGGAAGCAGTGGATGTAGCTGTTATATTTATTTTTAGAATTGATCCCGTCGGATTGCATGCGAGTCTTGAGGACGTCCACAGGGTAGACGATCACCCAGGATATGCTGCCCGCCGTGCCACCTGCCAGCATGGTCCTCCAGGTAGGGGCGTCCTGGAAAAAGAACAATTATTTAACAACCAAAATATCTACAGGTGTATCCTTGTTATCAGGATCGGTCGAAAAATAGTGATAATAGGATATAAAGATACAATGAAACAAATCTGAGCAAAACGTATTTCACTTATTAATGGTGTAGATATGGTTTACCGTGATAATAATTTCAGAATGAGTTGGTCAGGGGGTGCGGTCAATAAAAAAAAACCTGTACCACTACAACCCATGAAGGGTCTTGGGTTCAGTACTATTTAGGGAAAACACGGTTTCTTGGTCTACTGTTGTGCAAGGAGGTGATTTGACCGCTATCACGCTCAACTGCCAGGTTTTTCCTCTTAATTAATTATTTTAACTAAGCCTACCCACTTTATTGAGGCTAGGTGTGCCCCAGAGGGGTCTACCTACCCAGGATCGCCCCACGGCTGTTGTTAAATATTTATTAAATAGAATAAATAATTATTCTGCCATGAGCCGGGATTCGAATCTGGAACCTTAAGAATTGTAAGCTCAGTACCCTACCACTGAGCTACCCTTAACCCTATATAAAACTATATATTATAATAATATTTTATTGGGTTTGCCGCAGTTTCGATCTATGTTGTAGATCTTCTTCAGGGCGTTGGATCATACCGTTTACCACTGGCACTGCTGGAAGCAGTTGGAAGACGCGCTCACATTGAGACAACATTATATATTGAGTTTATACTGAGACTTTATAATATATTGAAATTTTATTATTTTAAAATATACTATATTTTAACAACAAAGTATTTAAATTGCTTTCAGAAAAATAATTTTAAATAAAAAATACTTTTAGTATTTTGTATTTGAAATACAAATGAATCAAAATAATAAAAATTCTCCAGCCTCAAGAACTGTCATTTTACTACTAATTATTTAACAAATAGGTTTGTTTTTACGTGGAAAGAAGCTATACAATAAGAAGGAAATGTTTAAAAAGAAAAAAAATATATAGCGAATGAATTCTTTTATCAAAGTAATATTATTTCTGAACAATTTGTAATAAAAGTGATGTTTTCTAAGTATATAATTTTGAATATTCTCAAACGTATTATATAAATTGGATCCTTAGTTTTTTTTTTTTTGTAACGGTAAAAGACGCTTTAAGAGAAATTTTCAAGATTAATATGAACCAGGTGGGAGTGCCCATCCTTCCAAAAGTCGATGGCGCAACAACCTTCCCCTCTTCTCTCCCAAGATTTTTTATTACTCTCCTTTTCTTAAAAACTGAGGAATGGAAAGTATAAGTAGAAAAATCTCAGATCATACACAATTATATCCATGTTCCATGTTTTCACCTTTCTCTTTGTTCCAAAAATTCATGACCCCATTGAAATGTGCCCTACCCCCTCAAAAATTCAAAATCCCGTCAAAATATGCCCTCCTCAAAAATTTTGATGACGCCTACTCCCTTCTGGGCACCTCTGGTTTTAGTTTCCACATTTTCTGAAGATGAGTGTTTTTAAATATAAGTGTACTATACTGCAAACCTATCCGCATTTGCACTCTCTATAGGGGGAATAAAGCTTATTATTTATTAATGAGTTGAAAACTTTCACTAGTACAGGATCGCATACTGGTACATTTACCTTAAACATATGTCGGTCCACCTTCATTTGTTTATTTTACAAAATATACTCTTCTAATTTTTCTTCTGGCAAGATCCTTGATAATTTTTTTAAGGCTAATTAATTTTACGATCATGAATAAATGTGTTACAAATTTAATATGAATGACCTTAAAAAGTTTCTTAATTTTCATCAAGAGATAATTCTCGAGTAAACCATCTGCCCTACAATACGTCAAGAGGAATCTACACAATTTAGTAATTTATTCTGTGTAATAAAAAAGAATTTTTTTTTTTTGTAAGTTAGTATCTTGAGAAATACAAATAATTCTTTTTTTATTTGGTGTTTTAAAAAGAAAATTCAGTTACTTTATTTATATTTAGGATTGTATGCGATTTTCACGATATCTAAATAACTAAAGAGAGAATGTGCTGTGAGTCTTTAATTTAAGAGAAACGATCCTAACAAACTTCATTCTCGAACCAAAAAAATTATACCAAAAATGATTAAATTCATTAATTTTCCTTAAACATTAAAAAAAAAAAAAAGCATCTTTAAAGCGGCATTTTCTTCACGGAGCGGTGATGCTGTTATATATATCGGCCTCAACTGTAACTAAACTTCAGTAGTTCTGGAGAAGCGTGCTGAGACATACTTTATTACAGAAGACAAAAATGGACTTATCCACATATCGATTTTGTTTTGTAATCTACAATACCCGACTAGGCTGAGTAGCACTAACTAATTGGACCGACACAAGACAGCTAGAATAACATACATGCTATCACAATTCCCAACCAATTCCAACACCCCCTTAGAATGCATACCGTACATACCATTGGAGGGATTCCATCCCACCAATTTCTCCAGACATCAACCCCACATCCTAAGTGGATGAGGAAATAAAAAAAATATATATATATATATATATATATGTATGATCATTTAAAGTTCAGTAAAATGGTATATTTTATATATAATAGTATGTTTCTATATAACCTTATTTACAATAACATGTTTTATTTTTCTATGGGATACTTAGTCCACTATTCTGAAAATGGTTTGTATAAACAAGAGTAATTTTATTACATTGTTCACATTCCCAATTGGACAGATGCCTATTTTAAATTTAACTTATGCGTATTAATTTAAGGAAAAGTCCAAGCGAGTTATGTAAAATTCACTAACATAAGTGGTAGAATTAATTCTTAAATTTATTGCCAATATCGTAAAAATAGAAAATAAAGAAATATAACGCCGAAAACCCTGTTCAGGAAATTAATGTAACGGAAGAAGACTTGACTCCCGCTCAAACTTTATGAGTAAATAAATCTAAAGATGAAGACTTCTTCAATAAATTCCAGTAAAGGAATTCTCAATTATCAAATGTGGGTGGTGTTTCGAATTCTTTGCTCAGTGTTGTGTTTATTGTCGGGAAATGATGAAAGCATTTTCAATGTGAAGAAGATGATGATGAATTTCCTGGCAAATATACAAAATTACCGTTTTCTTTGTTTTTTAAATGGTGTGTATTTTGAAATAAAATGTTTTAAAAAAATTTACTCTGGGATTGAAGTCCCCTTAGAATAATAGAAGAGTTTAAAAAATATGTACCTTAGTCTGGCATGTAAGTATCATACAAATAAATACAAAAAATACCTAGGAAATTGTAAACACATATATAATTCAAAAACCTTTTATATTTACACACAAATATATTTACACACAAAGATACTAATGAAAATACAAATATATAAAAAAAAATAAATATCAACGAAACATACTAACGATAAACACAGATATATACAATAAAATACTGAGATAAAAAAAAAAATAATAAATAAAAATAAAATGACTTCTATTCATTAACTAATGGTGATCAACTTAATTATATAATCTAGAAATTTTTACAAGCTTGCGGAAGTTTGAATTTGTAGCAGGTGGTGGAATAGGAGTTGTTTGAAGGAGTTTATGGACGTAGTTTGACGTAAGGAGTTCCATAAGGAGGTAGCATGAATGACGAACGATTTACTGAAGGAAATGGTTTTATGGAAGGGGATATAAATCTATAGGTTGAGATCTGGTATTGAGAGAGTGGATAGAGGAGCGTAAAGTAAGGAGTTCTAAGATGTAGGGAGGGTTTTTGCATCTGAGAACTTGAAAAAGAAAAACATCAAGAAGGAATTGCCGTCGAGAAGTAGGATATAGCCACTTCAACTCGTACCAACAAGAAATATGAGAACGCTTGGGAATACCAAATATGAATCTTATGAAGCAGTATATAATTTTCTTCAGTCTCGCCTCTAGTTCTGTGGACAGCCCTTCGTACACCAGGCAACCGTAGTCGAAGTGGGGGAAGACAAAGGATATTACAAGGAGCTGTCTGGTTTTTTATGGAATCACGGAATCGAAGATATTGTTTAAGAATAGTTATGGATTAACGGGTAATCTGGGAAACGTGGTTGTTCCAAGAGAGGATCTGATTGAAGATCACTTCAAGGAAAGAAATGGATGCGACGGTTATTGAGGTAAAGTAAAGGAGAGAAAGAAAGGGAACTAATGAGGTGCTTGGAGGCGATTAGGATTGCTTTGGTTTTGTCTGCATTCAACAATGGATAAAGTAAATATCCTCTTGTAGTTTTCAGATAGCCCCAGGCGTCTCAGATGGTTGGAATGATAAGTAAACGTCTGCATGTAAGTGATATTGGGAATGACTAATGGAGTCGGGAAGGTCGCTAATATAAATGGAGAACAGAGTTGAAGAGAGTGAGAATTGCTGAGGAATACCTTGTGTTAATTGAAGATCTGAGAAAGGAGATTTGTCAGGAATAACAACTGTCTGGGAGCGATGGGATAAAAAGGAGAGGAACCATTTCAGAACCCTATTCGATATGGTAGGCTTTAGAGTTTGGTGATGAGGATATTATGATTGACGGAGTCGAAGGCTTTCGAAAAGGACTAGGTGGAGAGTTTCTATTTGTCTATGAATGATTGGAGGTCTTGGGTAATCTTTAATAAGGCAGATTTGGTGGAGTATTGGGAACGAAAACCGGATTGTAGAGGATTGAGGAGACAGTTTCGCTCCAGAAAGTTATTCAATTGAGAGTGAACTAATCTTTCTAGAGGTTCGGATAAATTGGTTAAAATGGAAATGGGTCTGAAGTCGGATGCTAGTAAAGGAGCTGGAGCTATTGTTAATTTTTAATTATGAAAATAAATTATTGATATGCATTATCGGATATTTTAGTGACCACTTACCCATCCTCCTGATAATAATTCAAAAAACATGAAATAGGCTCCAAAAGATGGAACTTCTCTGCAGATAGTCATGAAAAACCCTTTATAAATTCCTGGGAGTCCTTGAGCCTTGTATATCTTGGCGAAGCAGTCCAAGGCTCCACTGTACACGCCGTTCTTCTGCACTTGCAGAATCGTCTTGCATAGTTCCAGAGGACTGCAGATGAAGCTCTGGAAGAAACCAGCTGACGCTCCAGCTATAAAATGGGAATGTAACCCCTCACTTCCAATCCATCGTGATACTTTGGCATGGGTCCCGAAAATGATCGCGTTTACCAAGGCAACTCCTCCCAAGGGAGAAGAGATCCCTTTGTATAAACCTGAAAGCTTGATATTAATTTTGTTAGTCTTTGGAGCTACGTAGTTCATTGTTGAATATCTAAGATTAAATGTATACTGCTGATTAATATATTAAAAAGTGTTGGACTTTTGTATTTCTCAAAGAATATCAATCAAAACTTATGTCTTAAAAAAGTAATGTTGAAATAGTAGAGAAAATTTTGAAACGTAGGTGATACGCTTGAAGCAGAGGTGGACCAAACCGGAATCAATAATTACATGATTACAAGTAAAAATAAAACTTAATTAATATGCCAATTTCATACTTGATTCAATAGCACTATAAATATAGTAAAAATGTGACACGATTACAATCGTAATCGGAAACCTGATTAAGATTGTAATTGTTATAAAATTCATCTTCCAGGATTGCTTTCATATTTTCAAGTATAGAGTATTTGTTACTAAAAGATTCGAAAAGACTATCCGATAAGAAACATGTGAATGTAGGCTGTAAGAGTAAAGGTTACACGTTCCTTGGAAGGAACTTTATTGCCTTTCAAATATATTGCTCTATCCCAACTTTGTGACCGGTTTTTTGTCAATAGAAAAGCTAGCCAAATAAACTATTATTATCCTTCAACACTCTCGATTCGACGGAGAGTAAAAAATATAATACCTTTTTTTTTTAAATATAATTGCGAAAAGTAAATAGTTTATATGGATCTGATATTTTCCTGTATGGACCGAATATTATTTATTTTAGTTCTGTAACATGGGACTAAAATCAGTGACAGCTGTATTTAAGTTACGCAAAAGTAATTAATATAACGAATTAGAGATTATTTGTCCATGAATATGTATTCATCGAACCTCTCCAAACGTGGGATGAATAGATTCTGAAGGCCCGAATGCGCCTATTTACATTTTTTGAAGTCAATCACTTACCATGATTTCAAGGATTCAAAAAATATATATTTACTAAATATACTGTTTTAAAAAAAGCAGCATTTAGCTTTCAGGATGTCCGATTTCAACAAATTACTTCAAAAAATTATTTTCTATTCGACAAATAAAAACCAATGTATTCCTTTTCCTATGTACTTTCCCTCTCCACATCCAGATAATATAATTTGGTATCATCCAATCAGCTCTGATAATATTCCTAATGCCTTCAGAGTGTTAAAAGAAAATAAAAATAGGTCCTAATGAGAAGAAATTCTGGTTTTCAGATTAGCTTTTTTCCGGCAACTTCACAATATCATCATAATACAACAATGATGGATTATTTTTTTAAATATTCTCATATCACCAGGTTTGTGATCTTAATAGTAAAAACTGTAATAAAAACATGATTACCTTATCCCGTTTTAAAATAGTCGTAAAGCAATGCCAAGTTCCTTTGTATATCGGTTTCTTAAAATCTTGGGTTTGCAGATTTACCTGTAAGATAGGATTTCATCAAATAGTGCCTATTTTAAAAAAATTATATTGAAATTTAGTGAAAATCAACATATACACCATTATGATTTTTCTAGCAAACTATACATCTTAAAATGGTGGAAAAAGGAGGTTTTTATTATAACATTGCATGTCGACATGCATTTATTTATTTATTTTATTATAACATAAATGTCCACTTTTCATAGAAAACTCCTCAATTATTATTTAAATTATTGAAAAATCGATAAATTATTTGTAAATTTATAAACCATTCCAAGACTATAAAAATGACAGTTAAAATTTGATTATGATTGGTTTTGTGTAATATATAATAGTATGATGAAGTTAAACAAAATAGACGTTTTTTAATCATATAAAACACAAAATTACATAAGACGTATTCAGATATTAAAAATACCTTAATTGTGTCAAATGGATGGCCAACAATCACTCCTGCACATCCTGTGAAAAAAAAGAAAGTCTTTTTCAAATTGTTTAAATCTGTAAATACATTATATATATAGGTATTTCCTACTGCTTACATTAGTGGAATACCGAGAAATAAAATAAATAGATAAAACTATTTAATGTAAACTTTTATCCGTAAATTTTACCAAGATTTGTTTGTCTATATCATTGAGTAACATAACACAACATGTCATTCTGTCACATATCGACATTGTTTATCGTGAGGGTAGAGTACATTCACATAATGTTTTTAGAAAATATAAATAAATAAAATAAGACTGAATCAAAATTACAGCTACATAATAATCAAAAGTATATTCAATAAACAAAAATAAAAGAAACTTAAATAAAGTAAAATGACATGAACACATCCATAGACACTATTTACGATCAGGCAAGAGAACTCTGAACTCCCACATGTTCCTCCAACTATGGAAGGGAAAGCAGGAGTCCAGGAGATCCCTGCACAATACTCTCTCAACCGCGTTACTGATACTAAAGCCGTTATTTACCTAGATAAATTACAAATTTAATTCTTTACATTGTCCTTGAGACAGATTGTAATATTTTTCAATAAATAAGATTAAAAAAAAAAAAATTCTTTACATGAATCAAATTCAAGTTAACAGGCTTATCGTATAAAGCAGTCTGGTTAAATATTTTTCTAATAAAAACAATATTACCGATGAAAAATAATGTTTGAGAAGAATATTTTGTTAAGAATGTTACTCAGGCATATTTTTTTTCATTGTACCCATCACGGATTTCATCATAAACTTATCCAGTTCAAACATGAGTTTTTGTAAGTATTTGAGTTTACATTTACATAAGGCATTTAATGAACAAAAAAATAATTGATACAATAGTATCTTTTGAAAATTATTGCTTATTAAATTTTTCACCACTGTATAAATATGTCGATAGTCTCTCAATTTGATGGAAAACTAATTTTCTTACAGCGCTGTGGTTTAAAAATTGACAAAAATAAGTTTCGACTAATTTATTACCTGAAAACAATTTTAATCACATTATAATGAAACTAGGAATTTGGTTTCAATTCATTTATTGTCATAGATTTAAGATAGACAAATCTATGTTTCTCTATGCATTCTATACATTAAATTAATCATCAACTACTTACCACCGACACATCCTGCCAGGAAATCTAAAGCCATCACAAAGATACGTGGGTGATCTGTCGTAAGGATACCACGAATCAGATTTAGCTGTGAAGTGCCTTTTACATCGGAAACTGTAAAATGCAAGAAAGAATGAATAAAGCGTAAAAGTGTTAGTTTTGTTTATTAACTTAACTCTAAGAGATCATTTAAAATTTTAAAGTCTTTCATCACCACCTATACCGATGACACACACGTGTCCTATCAATTGCATCGCACATCACAAACCTTGAAGAAAAGTGTAAAAATAGGAGAATTCAAATAAATCCCATCAAATTACACTTACCCACCGCTGTAAACCTATGTCTTCATGTGCTATAGTATCCTTTAACAATGCCTACCGTTGAACAAATCCGATACCTAGGACAAACGTCTAACTTTGAATCCTCATACTAAACGCAAACGACAAGAAACCACTCGACGTCTCCGACTACTTCAGCCACTAGCGGATCCACGATTTATTTTTAGGGTTTTTTTTTTTCATAAAAATAATGATAATTACCTTGGAAAAAAAGAAAAAAACTAACTACCTGTATGAAATGGTGTTTAAGTGATTCCTAAAGCCCTTTTAAATGTAATTACACGAGCAATAATACTTTAAGAGATACTTTTTAAATATTTTTTTCGATAAAACATGGTTATACTTTACCATTTTGGGGGAGGCTTCAGCCCGAAAGCCCTCTCCCCCCCCTCCCGTAGATCCACCCTTGACTTCAGCACTAACTATACAAACGCTCTGAGCTTCCAATTAATCACAAAATACTCATAGGTATGACTGGACCTGTTTGGACATACGGAGTTGAGCTTTGGGACTCCACTGAAACCACCGAATTCAATCCTTACAATCCAAAATTCTTCGTAAAATCCTCAATGCTCATTTCTTTGTCAAAAATATTATTATTCATAATGAACTTAATCTGCTATATGTTGCCGATTCAACCCAATCCAGACACCTATCCTTCCATAATTAACTCATTTTATATCGCAATACTGTCCCTTACTATATATTTCATATATAGGTAAGTGAACTTAAAAATGTTAAAAGTGTGCATTTAGATTAGTGTTCCACGTTCTTATTAAAAAAAGGCCCACTCTTTGGAATCGGTTTTTCAAATTAAATCTATCAGTAGCAGTAGATGGAAATTTGATATTCAAGCTGGTCGATTCAACATGACGGAGAAAAATTCCCCCACCTGGAAAAGTGGTAAAAAAAAATCCAGTTGATTTCCTTATTTAAAACATTTCTTAGAATATGGATAGGAGTGGCGTAGCTCATTAGTAAGGCGCTTACTTCCAAAGCTTCAAAGGTAGATGAATTATTTATTTTGTTTCGTCGTTCATGGATCGACTCTGGGGTCGGGATACCCTGGGCACACCTAGCCTCTAAAAGTTGGTACCCTAATTAACTCGTCAATTATCAATTGATCGCTGTCCAATCATGGCCTTGTACAACCGTTGACCTATAAACAGTTTTTCCTTACAAAGCACTGTTCTCTTCATGGTTTGCAGTGCTACAGATTTTTTTTTTAAATATGAAAATCAATGTTCTGTAAATTCGAACTCTAGCTCATAAATCAAAAAACTGAAAAGTCTAGTCTTAAATGACTTTATGGTTCAGCCAAAAACTGCTGTGTATTCCTTTCACATTTCTCCCTAATTGGTTCGTTCGTGGTTATCGTTTTTGGTCGAAGTTTACAACTCTCGAGATTTGGCGAAAAATCTGTCTTCCAAGATCTTGTCACTGATTTTAAAGATTTGCATAGTTTGGATTCGTAATGAAAGTTACCTGAAATATGGTTGCGTTAGATGGGTTAAGGTGATCTAAGTTCCAAATGTATGAGAGCATCACGTAGTAGATGTATGAGAGCATCACTTAGACGCTAGTTTTTAAAATATATTGAGAGAAATATGTTCCGATATAATGACTGCAATATCTCTCCATTATTTTCTGAGGTGACAGAAGTTCCAAATGAACCCTATATAATGACTTAACTTGATGAGAATGGTGTAGACAAGAATCGGTTATTCGTCCAAACAAACTAAATTTTTAGTACATTTGAATTAGATTTCAACAAACCGACAAAGCTTTTTAATAATAGATCCCAGCTTACTAGGACACTGCAACGTTGCTAAAAAGTGTCTAGCTTACGATAATTATATTTATTTGTCCTATTTTAACGTATAAGACTATAGTACATAAGGATGAGAGCGTAGTAGATGTATGAGATCATCACTTAGACACTAGTTTTAAAAATATATCGAGAGAAATATGTTCCGATATAATGACTGCAATATCTCTCCATTATTTTCTGAGGTGACAGAAGATGACGTAGGAGCATCTGTGTTGAGCACAAACCGGAACAAATGCGGATTTCCAGGCTGGAATGACCCAATCGATCTTCTCAATGGAGTCGCTTATCTTACATTTTCATTATCACGTCTCCATATCAATTGAATATGATGGTGGCAGTAATTGTTAGTATAAATACCAAGTTAGGTCTTGATATAAACGAATTAATCCTACATTGTAATACATTTTTCTTTAATGACGACCTGTATTTTTATTTCGATTTCCATCAGTGGATGTTCAACAGTCGTGATCTAATTAAAGCAGAAATAATTTTAACACAGCCATTAATAATACATAATTTAACGCTTAGCCTTTGTCTACTTTTGATACTCCATATACAGGATGGTCATCTGATCTCATGCACAATCGCTGCGCTATGTTCGACCGCTTTCTAACTATGTATGGAATACTGTTAACAATGTTTCGAATAGTACAAGTTTTTTTTGTTTGTTCGCTTTTTTGTGATTAAATATAGTTGTTTTTCAACTAAGGCAGAAAGGAAAACTCTGGTGCGGTGCGCGCAGTACACAACTTCCACTTATCACCCTCTTCTTAGCAGAAATGAGTATTTTCAGACAAAGAAGAAGTGAAGGTAAAAATTATAAACGCTATATTAATTCATATTTCATTGTGGATATTTTTATTATTTATACAACTAATACCCTTATGTATACAATTTTTAATATTTATATCACTGTTATCTACACAATTAAATATTAAATAACACCAACAAAACATTTAGTCACACCGCATATATATATATATATATATATATATATATATATATATATATATATATATATATATGTACATAATATTGTCGGAGTCCGTATTATATTAAGCTCAGGTTACTGTAGAAGTCTGTTCTTATCTCTCGCTCTCGTATCCCTTTGGTTTCTTTATTACAACTATTCTCTGTTACAATCTCTTATTTTTCCTTTAGTTAATTATCAAATTCTTTTATATTTTATACTTAACTATTTTGGTTTATTATTTTCAATAATGAACCATTGAAATCGAACAAAAAATTCAAAAACTTAACCTCCTCTCAAAATTTGAGGTTCTACGTTTCAGGATCCGTAGAATTCTAAAAACGTTTAAATTTTTTTTTTGTCCGCCATGTGTACGCCGTACACATACTGTGGTCTGGCTTCCGAACAAAAATTCCATCGGCTATTTTTTCTAACACGTACGCAAGTGAACTTTTTGTTGATACACCTACATTTCAAAAATGTTCGATTTGGCTCGATATTGGAGAGAAGTTGAGGATTGGTGAACAAATGATGAACTAGGTATCGATTTTAATCAGTGTTTTGGGTTTGAATGTATTTCATTGAATTACTTAGCCCATAGTTGGAAAAAGTTAAAAACTAGAGAAATATTATTCAGTGTCAATTTCCATCTCCTTTTACAGTCAGTGGCTGCCGATATATTTCATTATATTCCATGCAACAGATCAAATTGATGCAATCGTTTAAGCAGACCCTACACGGTAATTCATGAATGAACGTTACAAGAAGTTCCAAGATTGCCCGCTATCGCTTTGATCATGAAGACCCTTACACGTTCAATCATTACTGATCATTACTTATGTGAAGTTTCCACTTTTTTTTCTCTCCAATTTATTGCCTACTTCACTATTTAAAGAAAAAATAGTTGAAAATGGTTAATAATAATAATATAGACTAGGGATATAAACAACTATTTACTTTTATGAAATTATTTACTTAATAACGAGACCTAGGTAAACTAACCTATCTAGTAGTAAGGTTAGTCTCATATCGTTTTGACAAAAGTTAATAAAATATAAGTCTACTACTTACAAAAATTAAGGAAAGGTATTGCGAAAATAATAAATTTGTTGAGGAAAATGGGAAAAGAACTGATAAATATACACAACGTTAAAGTTTTTTTTTTCCTTTCAAGTAATTGTGAAGTTTCCTCATTTTTATTTAATTTGTTGCCCACTTGACTATTTAAAAGAAATAGTTGAAGATGATTTTAAATTATAAACAAGGGATATGAAAAATTATTTAACTATTTACATATAATGAAAATCAGAAATCTATAATGATTGTGAGGCCTAGGTAACCTAACCTATTCAGCAGTATGGTTAGTCTCCCCACTACTTTTACCTCAGTCACCCCTCCACTTCTCGTGAATGAACCTTTGATTTCCGGATGTTCGGAAATCCGCAGCGCACCACCATCAGTACTTCATTCACTACCTTACACGACAATTCGGAACGTCATTAGTGCAATTCCGATTGACCGTGTAGGGTCCCCTTTAGAAAATAAGGCCACGAAATGTGGCATTCATTGAACATATGGGAAGTAAGGTTATGGGAGTTTTCAAATTTCATGCAGTTTATGAGGCGTCCTTTATTCTGTTTAGGCCGTTCCCCTCCCCCCCCCCCCATGAAATTATAACATAAGTGAAGTGTATGCGTATATGCTTATCTATATTTTAGAATTTTCTATTACATGCAGACAAATAAGGTTTATAAATGTATGCCAGATAACTGTTCAACGGCAGAGGGGCTTAAAGTAATAAACAGAATAAAGTACGTATCTTCCGAAACATATCCATATAAACAATCCAAACAGTATTGTTTTTACTTGCTTAATCAAATAAATTATGAAGATTTTTTACCGTTTACATGGTAACGAAACAGAAACGTCAAAAAATGAGTGCGTCATTTACTGTTTTATATTACTATTTAGATAAAAATATTTTATGCATGTTGAGTGATTACAATAGTTTCAGACAAAGACAGTTTTAACGATAATTACTATTCTTCAATAATATCGTTGTGAATAATATTAAAAGCTTATGAAAACGTACCTGAATGAATTGTTACATCTCTTATACCTCAACCTGGATACATCAGTTTTATAAGAACAATTTTGCCCTGCTTTTATTTGCAAGACTTCAAGCCAGAAAGTTTGTATTTAAAGCAGCTAAAATTTAGGTATGCAAATATTATTTTCGAATCATTGATCTTCAAACCCATATAAAATTCAGATTCCATATTTCTAATGTACGAGTCATGAGAGAATGTTATATATGTTTTTTAATAAATTCTAGACAATCATACGCTTATCTTTAAGGTTATAGATTGTTCGTTAATGAGTGAATTATTAGTTTTATTTTATTTTTAATTTGTATTGATTCTAAAGTTAAAATTAAAGAACTATTCAAACCACATTTAAGAAATAAAATGAATATTTAAGACTAAAATTCAAAACGATTCCTCGGCTTATGATCAATGATAATACAAGTAAATAAGGTAAAAATAAATAAAGCAGAAGATATAGAATGCACTGCTAGTTATATAATTTACAACTATACAACTAATCAGCTAAATAATTTATAACATTCAGTAAGATAACCTTAAACATAACCTTCATAACTTCATTCCTAAATAAACACACATTGGTAGAAATAGATTAATATAAATACAAGAAATGTAACGAAAAATAAGAATCCTCCGATATCATTTTATTTAGTTTTTTAAGAATCACTTTATTTTGTGCAATGGAACTTTCTTATTCAGAGTTTTAACACATTGATGTCAAAATAACGAGGTTAAATATTTTTGTAGGTCACCTTTTTTTTCGATTTTGTGACCAAATTGTCTTACAATTTAAGTGGAAAGCAAATGGCTAGTGTTGCCAAAAGACGAGTCTCGGTCTTGCGCAAGTCTCGCAACAGTATTGCAGTTACCTAATAGCTTATTACTATAGAGATGTTACTGTAATTTTTCAGACGGAGGAAACGTAATTAAGCCAAAATGAAAAATTGGAAGAGTTATACAAAAAATTATTTTGTTTATAACAATTCTTTACATATAGTCAAGGATGTCCAGAAGGGGGTTTCATCAAACTTTTTGAGGGAGACATATTTTTATAGGTTTTTGAATTTTCGAGGGGTTACATTTTAACGAGGTTATGAATTTTTGGAATGACAACTTTTAGAATAAGGGATTTGGAGAAAAAATGAAACAGATAGCAGCAAATGTAATTGTTTATGATCTACGATTTTTCTAATTCTACTTCCTCTTGCTCTGCTTTTTAGAAAATATGAGCAATATAATATCTTGTGGGGAGAAGGGTAGATTCTTGAGCTATCGAACTTGGGGGGGAGGGATGGGCACCCCTGCATATCATAACTAAAATTCTCGAGTATTAGTATCTATTTTGTCTTCATTTTTATTCACAAAAACGATTTATTTTGACCCGTCTTGGTCTTAGTCTTGCGACAGTTAGGCGCTCTTGGTCTTGAATCATTGCATGACCTAGACCAATTTTGGGCAACACTACTAATGAGTATCCGTTATTTTTTAGTACCCCATTAAATTAATTAATTAAATCATAAAACGCATCATTTCGGAGAATTTGCGTAGATAAATAAGTTGTAGGTTACGTCCAGATGAAGCCATTCACGAAGTTTTAGATGGATGTTAATAATTTGATACTATATTATTTGTGTATATTTATACCACGATGCTAGTCAGTCTGATTTTATTTCACGTAAACTTTTATTTATTTTTATAATTTTTTTTTTTTTTTTATTAGTTACTCAATCACGGACATAAAATCGGTTAACACTCTCATTTGTTTAGGCTAGTTTCAACACCACAGGAACTCTACGAGTGCTGTTTCACCAACTGAAACACAAAATCTAGACGATTGTCGGAGGTTCTAGATTTCTTCTCCCTGTAACTCCTCGTGTTTTCATTTATTCCAGTCACATGAAATTTTTCCCGTGAGTGACGAATCTGAAAATGAACTATATCCTATCAACATTATTCACTGTAATCCATATCCATTCATCTTTTTTTCCTCCATCATTATTAGTTTAGTACAGAGCACGAAAGACTTTCGGACTCCCTTGCAGTACACAAAGACAAATCAGTAGAGAATATGAACTCATTTTTCATTTTAAAAAATACCTCTGGTTGTATGAATATTTTAAAATGTACTTTCATTATTTTTTTCTAAAAATATTTCGAATACTTTCTTTATTAATCCTTTAGCGATTTTTGACTCAAATTATTCGGAGAGATCCCGTGAGTGTTTTGAAATTATTTGAGAGCAAAATTATTGTAATAAATGTCTTTTCGAAAAATTTTCGTGGATACAAAAACTGTAGGTTGCAATAAAATGAAACCATAAACGAAGTTTTAGACGGATATTAATAATTTGATAAAAAGGGGCATGTACCGCGAACAACTGGAAAGAAGGAAGTTTCAGACATAAGGAGATTTAAATGTAGCGGTAAGTTTTTTAACTCAGTGCTGAACTCCTCAATGAAATTTATAATCTATCAGACCGTTCCTAATCAATTCAGAAGGTATTTCTTGGTATATTGTTTATTTTTCATGTGTTCTCAGCAACCTTATAAATATAGGAGCATAAATAAACCTTCCACTGGAATTCAGAAGACCCCATTCAGCGTAAATCGCTGTCTAACGATGTTTGATTTATTCGACTAATTGATTCCATCAATGAAATTAGCATTGACTTGAGGAACTCGGCTTATGTTTTCGTTATTCTAGGTTTTATAGGTGGTCCCACTATTTCCAGACCATAGGATTTACCTTCCCTGACTAAGATAAAATCTTGGATAAATAATTGAAACTTGTATAAAGGTGTGTAAAAAATATCATAAATTATATTTAATTGAATTTATTTAGTAATAAATAATATTCTTGTAAATTTTCCGAAATCCTTCGTAATCACAGATAAATTTTATAAAAATAATACAAAAACAATATTATAAGATAAAGTAATAATTACAGTTGCCTTAGTTAAAGTAAACTGCCTTAATATATTCTCAGAAAATAATATACATATATAGATTTATTTTCGCTAGTTAGGTACTTTCTGGGGGTTTTGGGTATTATGAAATATGTCAATTTTTCAATCATATTTATTGATAATTTGTTTTAATTTTGAAAACATAAACTTAAAATTTAGTCCTTCTTGCAGTGGTAGCATGAGCAAGATTTCGCTGATTTGAAAACCAGATCTTTCAGACCGTCCAAGCATAGCACCCGCACCTCAACCTAAAATAAAAAATTATAAATAATTAGTTATTCATTTATTCATAAAAAAAAATAATTCTTTAACACGACAGTATTTATAGTATGTCCTTATTTTTACACTAACATCAAAATTAAATAAAATACTATTTTAATTACAAACATTACGGAATGTCAATAAAAAAATATAATAGCTATACATTCATTGTTAAAAAATAAGTTTGATGACATTTAACTTTCTCTCCCCCCCTCCCTCCTATCCTGATCAGTTTAACCATGTTTTAATAATACGAGAATTATTTGAAATTTTCAGGTCTGTTAAAAGCTGTCCATCACTAGTACAAAATGGTGTTATTTTTTTTAATGGATATTTTAACTGCATAACTGAATATTTTTTCAATTTTTAAAATGTTAAATTGAAAAAGGAGGCTCTAGAGATATTAAGTGTCCAGCGGAGAAGTTTATAACTATAATAATTACGGCGGCATAAGCCAAAAGAGATAAAAAATTCCTTAACTATGTCCATCACTGGTGCGCTTATCCTAAATAGTAATTACAGATTTTATGAAAATAATTTTTGCTTATTTGGAGTTTTACATCAGGTTTTAGAAGTAAAAAGTATTCTAACTGGAATTAAATGTTTCAAAATTAACATAATAAATTAGACTTCAAACTGACACGTTAAAAACTGAAAGCTATCTTTTTGCGTGTGTTTTTTTAGGGCTGCGGGAAGAGGAACCATTTAATGTAAAATTAGTGATTTTTTTTTTCCTTCAAAACAGAAATGGAATACATGTGCAGAAGCAATTTATTCACCTTATATATATATTTTGTATTAATGCTGCATTTTTAATTACTGCAAACTCCTATGAATTAACATAATTAAGTCTGCCATCCATTTTATTTTTCATTATATACGTCATAGAAACGCCAGAAAAGCATTTAATACTTGATTGAAGTGGACGAAACGAAACTTAAAAATTACAATTTACAAAACCATTATCCTTCCTACAGATCTTTATGGATGCGAAACATGGCCTTACATTAAGGGGAATTAAGAATTAAGGGGTGAGCAACTTCTTAAGGTCTTTTAAAATACAGTATTGTGCAGATTATTCGAACCGAAGAAGGATGAATCAACCGGAGAATTTAGACGGTTACAGAAGGCTGAATTGCGCGAACTGTATCCGATTACTATAATTGAGATGATTAAGTTGAGGCGAATAAAATGGCTATGTAAAATCGCTGGTCTTAGTAACGAAAGAATTCCTAAAAAGTTAATATGCGCTGTGCAAACCAAGCTGGGAAGATTGCGTTAAGGCTGATCTGGCGGATTTGGGTTTAGACGGCGCCCGGTGGATGGAAGAATTTGAACATCGATTGGTAGTATCGGCATCGAACCTTCGGGTTCGCTTAGCTTTATTATTATTATTATTATTATAAGAGTGGGCGAATGGACTATACAATGTCGACTACTGTCTGGTACCTTTGAGGAATTTGTTTATTTTTTATCTCGTCGGTTTTCATTGAAGTCCTGCACTACCCTTATTGTTTGTTATATTGTAAAAGAATTGAGGTGTGGATGTTACTTATTATTATTTATTTATCTTCAAAATCTATTTAAGATTCTTCCATAAATTCGTACAACGAATGAATCTTCTAAGTAATTTGCGCGATCAGGCGTTGTCTTCAGCAATCTAATCCAAAGCTCGTACATTATATGATAATTTTCAGAAATAATGTTTTGTTTGCAATGTGTTCGTGTTTAACTGATAAACATATATATTGTCTTTACCTAGAGAAATTTTTCTATCTTTTTTTTTTAATTTAACCTTTGATTATATGAAGAGGCAATGCAATATATGTTTCCGAATTATCAAAAGCGCCCTGTATGAAGTTATATTCTTGCCGGATCTTGGAATCATTCTATTCTATTTCGATTTCTATTTACAAATGTACGACAAACTATTACAAATACAAGCTGATGAACACTTACATCCTCAGTCTCCATAATGTTGCAACACTGACCAACAGACGTGATGGCTTGCCGTGGATTGCTTATGAGTGTTTCCTTTGGTGATGGCACAGCCCAAGACTCGCAGTATCCCCTGCAAGCGTTCGTCGTAACTTCGAACTCGACGCAGTCCGGGATGCGAACTTTACGGGTATGCCCTATATGAAAAATTCAAGAATTCATGTATCATAAATATTTAAAAAAATAAAATAAATCTTTAACTACAATAAAATTAAAATCTGTGAAGACTAGTTAGAAACAGTACCCGGGGATCGAGCTTTGTCCAGATATTATTTTATTTAATTAATTAAAGGAGATGAAGAAAATAGAATCACTATAAATAGTTATTTTTCTTTTTTGTCCATTTTCTTCTCATTTTGTCTTCCATCTCCTTCTTTCTTTTTTTCTATTCTTTTCATATTTTCTTGCTTTCTTTCTCTTCATCACTATAAGAATCTTCATGTTTTTTGCTACTTTTTCTGAATTTTCCTCTATTTTGGTAGTCGTCTTCTTTTATTTGCTTCAAATATCATTTTTTGTTCTTCAATCCCATCACTTCATCGATTATTAGGTTCTTCAAACTATTCTTTTCATATGCTCGAAAAATTATATGCTCTTTTTCTTCATCTTAAGTTTTCAAAATGTTCATGAAGATCACAGTTCTTTTCTAATCGGTGTTCTTCCCCCACCCTTCTCAGCTCGTATATTATTCTCAGTATCTAAAATATTTATATATATTTATATATATTATGCATTCACACACACCCTTCATTAACTGAGCTCACCTACTCTGTGGCATCCAGGCTTTCCCCAGGCGTCTTGCTTAGACAGTAAACCAGGGAATGAAGATAATAAGAGCATACAGCAAAGGAATTTATTGACCATCTGAAACAGCAGATTATTAGTTCAATACATATTTTAAAATGAATAAGTTTCTTGTTAAACAATAAGCTCGATGATTTTAAAATGAAAGGAAAAACATTCAGTGAATTACGAAAGGATGCTAAGTAGGTAATACTTTTAAGGAACAAAACAACTTTTGCCCTAAAATACATCTTGTATTACCTATATATATATATATATATATATATATATATATATATATATATATATATATATATATATATATATATATATATATATATATAGTTAATAACAGGTGGTTTGGAAATTTGAAGGATTGCATCAGTTAGAGCTGGGCTGAATTTGAATAAAAGAGGTAATATTTTTATTGGAAGCATAAAGACTTAAATAAAAATAATTTCAGATATAAAAGTAATAATATTTGAATGTATTTTATTACGTTTTTCATCAGGCCCATATAACGATATTAGACGTAAAAATTCAATTCTAGACCGATAGAGATAATGTTTTCAATTTTTTTGGATTTTTTTGTTTTGGATTATAACGTTGCACCTCATACCTCATCAATGAAATGAAAATATATCTTTGATTATTCAACAAGTTTTATTCGACATACTTTTGGTTGCTAATGACGGCTTCATTTTCAGTGAACGTCATAAAAAACATTTTAATTATTATTAGAGGTTCACTTCAAACTATATTTGTTAACTTCGCCTTCACGTGAAAGGCTCGTTCCTTGTGGAATTAATTTATTTACTTTAATAGGCAATTGTATGCCAACTACATTTAAAAGAACGAAACTAGTATTATTGTTTTTAGTTAAAAATTCTATATTAGTAGTACTAAATACTTAATACTGAACTAGAAATGAATGTTATTCTATAAATAAATATTATACCTTTGTTTTTATTTGTAATATAGTATACCTAATCTATATTAGAAATATTTAGAGGTAATGGATTCTCCACATTTTTACAAAATTAATGGTAATTTATTTCAATATACCTGGAACATTACCTGCTTCTGCAATTTAACTGTTTGTCGCACCTTGATTTGTAAAATGTAATATAAGAAAAATTTGGAGCTGTTTAAATATTATTATTATACATTTTTATTAGCTGACAAGAGATTTTGTAGCTCCAAGAGTAAGTTATAATGGTTGTTAATAGTAAATCCCAGATAAAGAATTTACTATGGGTATTATTTCAGTATCTAAATATATATATATATATATATATATATATATATATATATATATATATATATATATATATATATAATGCATTCACACACACCCTTCATTAGCTGAGCTCACCTACTCTGTGGCATCCAGGTTTTCACTTTCATTAATAAATCAAAAGAACATTGATGGAGTTTCCAATTGTACGTTTATGGTTTATGGTGTAATAAAGAAATATGAAAAATATATATTAAAATTTATCTTCACGCGTAGCATTTAAAATTTATTAAAATCCAACATAATAAATGGGAAAGATGTAATGTACAATTGTATACAATTGTCAAAATAAAATAGACCTGAATAAAATTCTTTTAAAATACATGAAATATGATTAAATACTTACTGAATATTCCTCAACATTGTCAAACAGGATCAGAATTTAAAAAATTATGTTAAAAAAGTATATGAATATACTTTTGATGAATATATATACTGTTTTTATCGCTTTTTTTTTTTTTTTTTTTTTTTTGTGTCAATGAACTTGTAAATAAAGACAATATTCAACAGTATGCCTTACCTTCGCTGGGAAGTTAAGAGATGCCTCGAGGGTGGTTGGTGGTAGAATGGTCGCTAGCGCTCCTAGCGGCCGCTTACATAGGCAGCTAAATACACCCCCACCATTCCTGCGCCCTCCTACACACCTCAATCCCTTTCAATCATTTTTATTCCATTTTTCTTCTTCATTCCCTTTCATCAAGTTTCTTCTCCTGATCTATGCTCTCTATTGGTTATATTCTTTCATTTCGGCAGAATCAAAATCCTGAAAAGTTATAGAATACGTTATTTCGTTTTTTTTAGATACCTACTCTACTTCATTTTCATTTTTTTAAAATAAATTAATTGACAATACGTCCTAGTCTTACAGAAAATTTCTTCCAAATTAGTGTATTTGATTTAACTTTTACAGTCAAAATAACTGCTATGACAAACAAATGGAAAAAACTAGAAAACTACATCTTTAAAATACCTTCAACGATTCCTTTTTGCAATAAGTCCTTTGCATTACTAAGTAGTTATAAAGGTTCATGAGTGTACAACTCATTCATGTTATAAACTAAATAAAAAATTGGTGGGAGCGCTTCTCCTTCCCCCAATGTTAGCAATGATCTCAATTGTCCCACCGAGCAATGATCGAGCTTTGTCCAGATATTATTTTATTTAATTAATTAAAGGAGATGAAGAAAATAGAATCATTATAAATAGTTATTTTTCTTTTTTGCCCATTTTCTTCTCATTTTGTCTTCCATCTCCTTTCTTCTTTTTTTCTATCCTTTTCATATTTTCTTGCTTTCTTTCTCTTCCTCACTATAAGAATCTTTATGTCTTTTGTTACTTTTTCCGAATTTTCCTCTATTTTGGTAGTCGTCTTCTTTTATTTGCTTCAAATATCATTTTTTGTTCTTCAATCCCATCACTTTATCGATTATTAGGTTCTTCAAACTATTCTAATTCATTCTTTTCATATGCTCGAAAAATTATATGCTGTTTTTCTTCATCTTAAGTTTTCAAAATTTTGGATGGTCAGCATGTTTATGATCCTGTACAAGAGTAAAATAACATAAAATCTTACTAAATTGTATTGACAAATCCTTAGGAACACGGGCGGATCTATGGGGGGGGAGGCTTTCGGGTTGAAGCCCCTCCCAAAATGGTAAAATATAACCATGTTTTATAGAATTTTTTTTTTTTTTTAAATACCTCTTAAAGTATTATTGTTCGTGTAATTAGATTTAAAACGACTTAAGGAATCACTTAAACACCATTTCATATAGGTAGTTAGTTTCTTTCTGTTTTCCCAAAGTAATTATCGTTATTTTTATGAAAAAAAAAAGCTTTCGGGCTGAAGCCCCCTCCCCCCAAAATGAAATCCTGGATCCGCTAGTGCTTAGGAATAAATAAGAAAATTGTTATTATTGTAGGCGCGAAGTATCCCTTTGTTTAAAATCCAATCCATGTTTGGCCACTTTTAAACATTATCCAAACCATGGCAAGGATGAGCGTTTAAAGTTGTAGTTGTGATTGGTTCACGCATGATTTTCTCTGCAAATCCAGATAGAGGAATGTTATTTTATCTCTATGGTAAGGTCAGAAGTTTTACAAAATTGAAGTTTTTTCCTTTAATATGTCTCATAACTACATTTTTAGAATTTTAACTTTAGAGTATAATTCGCGAACAATATTTTTTACGAGTTCATAACTTCATTGGTGCAGATTGACGTTTTCAATAAATTCTATAAGAGAAATAGAGAACTTACAACGAAAGATTAAACCAATGATCTCCACCATTAAACCGAATTCTCAGTACACATATAATTGAACTGTGCTATTATAAATAAATATAAATCGTTTGTATAAAATATTTTTTTCGATATGTTGCTTGTAGACATATTGACTAACCATTGGATAATATCTGACCACCAATTCGGCTTTCGCACGTTCCATTCGACACATCAATTACACAGAGTTGCCGACTAAATAACTGGAGGTCTAGAACAACAACTATATGCAACTGTAGTAGGGGTGCCCAGAAGGGGTGGAAGTTGCGCCATCAAAATTTTTGAGAAGGGCATATTTTGACGAGTTTTTGAATTTTTGAGGAGGTCAATTTTCGACGGAGTTATGAACTTTCGGTCTAAGGGACAAGGGGAAAACATGGAACATACCGCAACAAATGTAATTGTATATGATCTACGATTTTTCTAATTCTACCTTAGCTGGCTCTGTTTTTAGAAAAAGGTGAGCAATAAAATATCTTGGGTGGAGTGGTAGGGTAGGTTCTTGCGCCATCGACCTTGGGGGGGATGGGCATCTCTGAGCCGGTGTATTTTTGGTAATCAGGCGTTTGATAGAGTTCGAAGACTACACTGCCATACACGTACTATCTTATCCTTCAATCTTTCTTCTTCGACAGATTTTTCTCAGTTCGGCAGGACTTGGAAATATCATCAATTCGTCCACTCTTGGCAGGAGTTCCCCAAGGTTCAATATTGGCCCCTCTACTTTATATTGTATGCACTTACGATATACCTATTAACAGCTACTTATGCAGATTGACATTGATTATGAGACATTGACAGCTACTTATGCAGACGGCACAACAATTCTTACAAAACACCAAGACCCCACATAAGCCTTATTGACTCTACAACATCACTTACTTAAATTACGAGATCGGTTGAAACTTTGGAAAATTCGAATTAATCAAGACAAATCTAAACATACAACATTTACTCTTAGAAAAAACGCCTGTCCTCCAGTTTATATTGACAACAATCAAATTCCTCAACCGTTTGAGTCCGTGCAAGGTACTTTACCTTGGACTCACCTTCGACAGAAGGATGACATGGGGCTCGCATGTAAAAATTAATCGTAAGACAATTAACAAACGACTCAAATTATTTTACCCTTTTTTTTCTAAATCTTCAAAACTAAATCTGAGACAGAAATTGAATACATATACATACTTACTTTTACCCATATAGACATACTCATCAAAAATATTCGGTATCGCTAAAAAGACTGACCTACTGACACTTCAAACCTTCCAATCAAAATTATTGTGATTCATGGTACATAACAAAAGCACCATGGAACGTGACTGGCAAAACTCTAAATACTGACCTCTATCTACCAACAGTTGATCAACATACAACGACCCTTTACCAAAGATTTTATACTAATTTAAACGGACATCACAACAGATTAATCAGAGACCTGGCCACAGCTGACATACCCTAGAGCATGAGGATGAGGCTAAAAAGACGTCGGATGAGAGATCTCCTTCCTTAAACAACCTAAGTATTGAAACAAGTCAGGGAAGAGGTGCTGCTGAGTACTTTCCTTCCCCATACCTGACATGTCATTTATATCTTGTATTTCGAGCAGATTTGCTGATTGTTGACAAAGTTAACAGGTGCAAATAATTTGTTTATAGCCGAAAAAAATCTTTTTTTAGGATCAGCTGTCAGATTTGCACTAAAGGCCAAAATATCCACAAATCTAACTGAGCCTTCTGTATCCAGGCATTAAAATTCAAGGAAGCATCTATAACAAAAAGTAGTTCGCTAGGAATTCGGCTGTTTGATGCTTAATATTATTGTTATAAGTTCAAATGTTTAAGAAATCACAGAAAACAAAAACGCTTCAAGCAAATTAGGCCAAATAAATTTTTTAATGTCAAAGAAAGTCAATTTTCCTTGACACAATTTTATTACACAAAGCAATCTGTTGTGTGTCTGTAAATACTCTTAAGTATGAATTGTCATAGAAATAAAAATATAAATTTTGGACTCGATTTTCTAAAGCATTCATAATCCACAGGATTTTCTACAAAGTCGGTGTTACTACAACCGCTGGAAAGCTGAATTACTTCTCAAAAAATTTTATTTTATGTCTTTCTTTTAATTTGTGCAGTTTTTAGGACTTTAAATCTCTGATAGTTTTCGTGTGGATCGATGGAGTCATAAAATGATCACATTTAGTCATTTAAAAAAAAACAATTTTCCGTTGGCATTACGGACATCTCGGATCTTTTGCCGCCTTAACAAGCCTGTTCCATATCTGCTTGTCTTGGACTATTTCTTCCCATTTATCTGCATCTTTGTTGATTCGATCTGTCCATCTGCTTTGTAGCCTTCCACGTGGTCTTTTGTCTACTATTGAGGCAATCATTGCCGTGTAGAGGCTTACAGATGGATTGCTCCAATCTACATGCGCCATCCATCTTAACATATTTGCCTTCATATTATGACATATTGATTGAACAATATCTGTAAGCAGCTCTTTATTGGTCTTTCTTTTCCACGTGTTAGTACTCTGATCCCATTTCACTTCGATTATCATGCGAAGGATTTTTCTCTAGAATATTTCAATACTTTTTTCTATGTCGCTGGTTAGTGTCCAGGTCTCATTGCCGTATATTAGAACTAGCTTTATACTAGCATTGTACACTCATAATTTGAGATTTCTTGAGATGTTTCGGCATTTCAATACCTTTGAAAGAGAGAAGAAAGCTCTAATATGCGGTGTTTATAAGTTGGTCTATTTCCGACCGTAGGTCATTGGTCATTCATTCCCTCACTAGAAAAAAATAAACAACTTCATCCTTACCTTTATCCTACTTACTACAATACTTTACCTCCCAACTTTTTCAAGTTAGCACCTAAGCATATGTTAACTAATGAAGTATAATTATGCTCTCCATAAATATTGAACGTTTATGCACTACGCCACCCACCCTACTCTCTAAAGGGTTTACACTCTATTGAGTTGCATTGGCGTTCTTTACGCACAGATGGTGCTATGCCATTGGTCCAAAACTTTATTAACTGGCGAAATTGTAATAGATGTATTTTCCCTCCTCCACCACCACCCTCTCCTGGTACATTTAGTACACAGTGGGCCAGACCCCCTTACCGTGCACCCCCCCCTCCCCCACATCCTTATAAATTGCATATCGTTGTGTTCCTTGTGACAATTTATTAAAAAAAAGCCAATGTTCCCACAAAAAAAAGTGAACGAACTGCCCCAAAATGGCGTCCAAACATGGCGGATTGACGACTTTGACTTTAGTTAGTTTTTTTGTTACTGAGAATCAGCATTTGGCTTAATTTCATTATAGTTGGTCTTTTATTAAAGCTGGATAGTCAGAGAATAATAAAACATGAAAAAATATTAAAAACTAATTGGCTTAGGCATTAAAAAAAATCGGTAAAGTCAATTTTTTTTACAAAAAAATTTTCAAGTTGAAAATCAAGCGTCGTTTGTAATTAAACGGTCAACAATAATGCAAAACGTGCTGAAATAAAACATCTGGAGAATACATTTCTCTTTCTAAAACACTGATTACTTTTTAAAATATTTGAAGTAGTTCCGTATAAAATGTACTTAAGCGGCAGAAAAGCGCTACTGGCGTGGGTGCCTACAGGCCTCTACCACACCACTCAGTACTCATAAATGGCTTAGTTATAGTGCTATAATAACGTTTTTGTTATATTTTATTGATTATATTAACGAACAAATATTAATACAATAATTTAATTGTAAAAAATTATTTTTTTTTAATTTATTATTT